AGGGATTCTAGTGTAAGACGTCTCTCAGGCACTGACGGTAGAAACGATCTGACATACGAACACTTTACAGTGACATGATCATGGGTTTGGCCGCAATCGATAATATTCCTCTCTCGATCCTGACGTCCGGCCCATCTCCAGGGTGGGACGGAGATGCACCTGCCGAGGAGCAGGAGGCAAGTTCCACCCCGGGCGTGATACCGCAACACAGTGGATCAGCCTCTTCTTCCTCCGGAGTGAATTCAGGTGCATATGGAGCTCAGCCACCGAGTCTGCAAGAAAGGGGTACACGGCTCGACTCCAACTACACGGGGTACACACACGCAGTTGATGTTGCAAGTCTGGCATCGGCACCATCAAGCAGCGCAACTCCAACTACCAACGTTCCCTACCCGAACGTGGGCCATATAGCAGATCCCTACCACTTAGGTGTCCTGCATCCGTCGTACCGGGGTGAAGTAGATCCAAGTGATCACGCATATACTTCGTCATTCTCAACAGCGCATGTAAGGTGTTTCAATACTGCCCTGGATCTAACTACTATCTGACAGGTATTTGGCCTCTGTCGTCACGCAGGTCCTAGGCATTGAGCGACATATGCAATCCATATCAGCTATGCATAGCATGGGCCCGGGGGCCTCGGACCAAGGTGCTCATCCGCCTGGTTTATGGCAAACTTATGCCAACACGCAGTTCGCTGCGCCTACCGACGCATCAGGCATGACTGACAATGCTCTCGAGATGCTGTCAGGTATGCCGCCGGCCCTGGGGTACGTTAATCGGTTTGGGCTCAGATGCATTGAGTGTCTGAATGAACCATAAATTACCACGCCAGCTGTGATGACTGGACCGGTTACATGTGGAATACTATCCCCGGATTCACGCAACCGCTAACATCAGATACTGACAGCCGCTTGCAGATCGATAGACCATCAATTCAGAAAACCACGTATAGTCGGAGTGGGTCGGAGTGGGTGCCAGGGACGTCGGAAGAAGGTAGAGAAGTCCAGATGGTCCGATTTCTGTCTCTCGGGGACTTGAAATTGCTTGTCCGACGTGGTCCGACTGTAAATGATTTTCAGAAAGCGGGCCCATCGATCTGCAAATGGCTGGAAGGGAGCATCTGATGGCATGATCGGCAGCCTGAGTGTTTCACTTATGTACATCCCAAATGTACGTATCTCGTGGAAGCTTTGAGTCAAGTTCACGAAACCTTCGCTAGCGTCACAATCCTCATCGCCGGCACATTTCCCAAACCAACAACATTGGCGAGGATTGCCCTGCAGTACTGCAGGCGGTGATAGGAGGAAGCGCAGGACATCTCTTCGACAGGATGCAGTATGCTTTTCAAGACTGGAGGAATACACCGTCTCGTATTCTGAAGGTGCACCATGTTCGGGATTGCTGCCAAATTAACTCGATGAGAATCGCGTATAACAGACCGTGCTTGACATACGGTTTTTCTTGATCTCAAGACCTCCGCGATGTATGTCGTGGATCCCTCTTGAGCGACCTGGTGATCCGCGTCATACTTCGCTAGCCAGAGGCAAGCATCCGTGAGGAATGCGAACGTTGGTCCCAGTGCAGGCTTTCTGGTATTCGATGCAAAAGCCGATTGTGCATTATACGGCAACGCGTAGCTGGTGTCGTTGATTATCTGGTAGAAGAGATGACAGGATCTAGCTGTCCCAATGCTTCGCCGTTCGGAAATACGTACAAATATTGCAAGGGAGAACGTCCGCGCCATAGAACGGAGTTGTCGCATAAACGTTGTCATGATTGCATGCCCTTTTAGACAAGTTGAATGCCGCAAGGTAAGGATGGTATTTGGATTACCTTGAGAAGAGGTAGCATTCAGACGGCAAGACAGAAGCTTTGACAATGTGTCGATCACGACGCAACGAATTACAGGACCACCTTTCGCGGGGTGCTATACAGCAGTAAGTTACACGTTAAGCATACGTTAAAGATCCTGAGTTCGACGAACAGAGAGTGACTGGCGTAGAGCGTCCAGGATATTATCCGCTTCTTCGGCATCCGCAGGCATGGCAATGTGCAGTCTGTCCAGGGCTGTACCGGAGGCCTTAATGGACGGCCGCTGAGTGAAATGAGAACGTTTCAAGAAATTGGTACAACCTCTCCTTCCGCCGCCGCCAACCATCGCACCGCTCTGTCGATTTGGAAGTCACCGGTCGTATCCAGCCATAGGACACTTGAGTCGGAGACCTCGGATAGATGTTTGCAAACTAGATGCAGAGCAAGAGCCTTCATGTCCTTCAATACCTTCTGGGGGGTGGTTTCGTGGGACGCTCTTACCGATTTACCGGAGCCCTTCACTCCGGATATTTCTATAACTCGTGAACCACCGAAGCCGTCTAACAACACGTCCAGAGCATGCACACCGCTGCGAAATCGAGGATCCTTTGTCGCTGAGAGACTGGCCCGCCTATAGCATTCAACGCCGGTCGAAACTGGAGCAGACGCACTCTCAGCAAGTTGGGCTGTGTAAGTTTCAAGTATATCTCGGGAAACAACACCCGAAGAAAGCTTCGCCTGCAGGTCCTCGACTGATCCGGGAAATAGCAAGTCCATATCCGTGCGGATGCCACATTCTTGCAAGGCCTCAACGAAGTCCGTCGGCAGAGGAGGTACTAAGTCTTGCAGGTCCATAGCCAGTGAAGAACCTCAGGCTTCAATAGTTTCGTAAGTATAGCACGAGAGATCAACAGGAAGGTTGTGCGTCGGACGAAGACATGTTTGCGTGCTTTGTATATGCGGTCGAAGCCGCAGGCAGTTTGTTGACTGTGAGAGACAGCGCCACAGGACGAGACGCGAATCTCTAGATCTCGGCTTTACAGGGTGGTTGTGAGTGACAAACGGGCATAGCTTGTGAACGTACTCGAATGAAACACGACGACTGCGGAATCCGCTTTTTGTGCTCGACCCGGACATCGTTGCCTTGAGCTGCTGAACGGTACATCGTTTAGGAATGCCCGCCTCGACCTCCAGCACGCAGTCCAAGCCTGAGAAGAGCGAGGAACCGAAACCAAAGAGAGCAAAAGTGTCGAGCAAACCAGTTGCTCGTGCTTGTGATACGTGCAGGCGCAAGCGAAGTACGTGGTCGCGTGAAATGGGTGGAAAGACATACTGATGAGAGGCACTAGTCCGTTGTAGGTGTCAAGAGATATTCTTCATTAGACAGGAAGCTTACGCCCAGGGTGACTTTAAACCCATTTCTATCTGAGGCGACGGCGAGGAAGGATCTGGGATTCCTTGTCCTAACTGCGTAGTCTTCAAAACGGAATGCACATATAACGTGCCTTTAAAGGTCAGGCTGATGTCCGAATGGTCGCCTTTCGCAAATGTAGCGTTCACTCATACCTCATACGCAGAAACATGGCCCACCGAAAGGGTAAGCTCTCGAGCGTATATCGCCTATTGGCACTTACAACTGCCACACAAGTTACGTGAGACTCCTTGAAGCACGTATCGCCAAGCTAGAAAGTCTACTACGCGAGGTCAGTATTACAGAGTAAGGGTTGACAGGATCTTCATCGTATGCACTGCGCAGGACGGACATGTTATCACAGAAGAGGTAGGAGAGCCTCTCGACAAAGATCGCATACGCAACGGGAATTTCCCTGGAAAGGATGACTCTGAAGCACGTCGCCCGAAGCGCTTTTCGAGTGGCTCTAGCTCCGGCAGCGCTGAACCTGGTCCTTCCTACGAGAGTCGCTCCAAGAATGCCGAGGATGATCCCGAAAATGTCTCAAGCGATGATGAGCACTTTATCGCCACTACCCTAGGTCCCGCCGTCGCCGGTCTCTCTCTGGACCCTCCCCATCGCAGGTACCTGGGTAAATCAAGCGGGTTCTCCATGATTAAATCCGCAATCATGCTTAAGGCAGAGAATACCGGGACTCGCCCCACATGTGCATTTCGGTCATTCCGTGAAGAGTTCTGGCGTCCTCAGCTGGTACCGTTGTCACCCAAGTCGCTTTATGATGGATTCTGACCCGGATGCATATAGTGGGAATTGCCGGCGCACGAAATTATACTTCCAAGTTACAAATATCCAGATGTTGATCTTATGGAGTCCTTGATCCGCATTTATTTTGATCAGCTGCACTATTTGGCGCCGTGCCTGCACCAACAGACTTTTGAGCGAAAATTCCGGGACGGCCTCCACTTGTCAGATCGAAAGTTCGCGGATATTGTTCTCATGGTCTGCGCGGTGGCATCTCGATATTCGGACGACGAGCGTGTATACACCACAGCCTCTGATTCTTCATATTCACCCCAATCTGCAGGGTGGAAATGGTTCACTCAAGTTCAGGCAGCCCCACGATCCCTTGTTGCACCGACCACTTTGGAGGATTTACAGCTATACAATGTTGGTGTGATCCTCAGTCTGTCTGACGATTTCCCTGGGATTGAATTTAGTTGTTGTTCAGTTGCTGTTCATATTCGTGACAGGCGGTCAAGCTCCTCAGGTTGGCTGGGTGATAGTCGGGCATGCCCTACGATTGGCTCAGGACATAGGAGCCCACAAGCGCAAGTTCCACGAGGACCAACGGAAACTGGACTCAGAGTTGTGGAAAAGGGCATTTTGGTCAGCGGGAACTCTCATCTTGAACGTTTCGTCCAATTCCTAATCCGCTGTAGGTGCCTAATCGCTCATGATCGTCACATGAGTGCCGCCATTGGACGACCTTGCTCCATTGACGCTGAAGAGTGGGTGTACTTCATCTCGCACATGAAACCCGACTCATCGCCTGTTTAGAATAGAGGTCGATTTTCCAGCGGAGTGCGATGACGAATATTTGGAGCACCCTGATTCCGATGGGAAGTTCAAGCAAGACTCCGAAAGGCCGTCCAAGATGGTATACTTTACCCACTGTCTGAAGATGAGTCTGCACACGGGGAATGCACTGCGAGCTATAGTATGTGAGCCATCCCAAGGAAAGATGCAGTGTTGACGAAGTTGGGTAGTACACCAACCGCCGATACCAAGCTCTCATGGGGCGCAACCAGCAAGGTTGGGAACAGCGCATCCTTGCCGAAATGGACTCTGCGTCCAATCAGTGGTTCGACACGATTCCGGCCCACCGTGAGTCCATCCTCATCCAGGGCCAAACACTACCTGACGAATGCCAGTGAGATGGGTGCCCACCTGTGGCGATCCCACCTTCTTCAAGCAATCTGCGTTCCTATATATTAATTACTATCAGAACCAAATCCTGGTACACCGCCCCTTCATGGCTTCAAAGAATTCGGCGCTGTCGTTGTCATGCCTGGCCATATGCACTAACGCTGCTCGCTGCATTCTGAACGTCGCTGACGCACTTAGACAGCGGAGGGAGAGCTACCCTGGCACGATCGTACCTACGTTTACTGCTACGATGTTCCTGTTACTGCAAGCCTGGGGAGGTAAGAGATTAGGGATAAGTGCAGACCCTGAGAGTGCGATGGCAGATGTACACAGAGGTCTCCGTGTGCTTAAACACCTTGAGGACCGGTAAGTATTCATAGCTATGCACTTGCCCTCATGACTAAACTATTATGGTCTCGAAGCTGGACCGTCGCTGGAGCATTATGGTAACTCCTAATGTCGTCGTAGGTTTCGTGCTCTCACCTTCTATAGGGACATCATCTGGGAACTAGCGTCCATTACTGAGCTGCCTCTTCCCGTGCCCCAGAAAAACTGCAGGAGTTTCAAACGTCCGAGGCGCGGTAGCAATCTACCGACCAACACTGCGCCGCCACCACTGCCAGCGGAAAAAGTGGCGGCGGGTGCTTCTCGAAGTTCAAGCACCCATATTCATGCTGACCCTGAAGCCACTCAATCAGGCTCTTCGGTTTCTCAATCCCAGAGCCCGGCGCCCGCGGTTTACCGAGCTATGGACTTGCCTTTGACTTCCGATGGCCAGAGTGCCGTGATGAGTGACTTCGTGCAAGGAGGAAACGCCCCGGATGACATCCGGTACAAAACATCTTCAGAGGACTTCCGGGAGAGCTCCTTCACGTCAGCTACGGGCCTTTCTTCGAGCCAAGAATATAATATGTTTGGTCTGTGGATGGGTCAGGCAAATGGGATAGAGCATCATGCTCCTTCTAGCTCCATGCCTTCGGGTTCCGCTAGTACGTTCCAAGGGGACCCATCCGGTAATGCATCCCTCTTCTCTGGCTTTGCGACGACCATGACAGAGCATGGTGCGGTGGACTCTCTTTCGAGCTCCTCTACTTCTACGTCCATTCCTTCGGGCTTTGGACAGCCGTACATCAACGCAGAGCAGAACGGCTTCGATTCGCAGGAATGGCAAAACCCCTCGGTTTCTGCTTCTATCCCCCGTCCTGCGGGCGGTGCCAATGGTTTTGATCAAGACGCTTTGACTTTGCTATCGAATTATCCGACTGGCTTTGAGTGAGTGGATGACGACTTCACTCTGGCCATCCAGGACCTAATGTATACCGATTCAGCTTCGATGATTGGGATGTCTACATTGACAGTATGGACACCTTGATGCAATGCTCAAGCTCACTGAGCAATGCGGGCGGCGGTGCCTAAAGCTGCATCATACTAGCCCTCGACTTTCGACTGGCTACTCTCGCCCACCTTAGGCAAGTACATATTGTGTATACGAATGGAATATGCATTACTTTCTGCTTCCAGAACATGTCCTGTTTCCCAGCAAACTATGTACCTTATGACTCATTCATGTTAAAAGCGAGTAACACAGTACGCCACCTGGGACAGGATCCACGGACCGGTTTCGAATTATTCATCCAAATTATCTGTGCCTGGGTCCCTCTGCAGCAGCAGCTCACGGGAAGTCCAGGCGGGCCGCCAATAAGTCTTCCTGACTGTCTTTTGCGCTGTTCCTTGATCAGGTCATGGATCCCCCAGACATACGGTTACATGCAGGTGAAGCCCTTTGGTCATAATGGCATCCGGAGTGGCAGGGCAGGGGCAGGTATGCAAAGGGCATGCGGTCCGCATCGCGCGGCTTTGCTTGTTCAGGAAAAGCATTTTCTGTCGACGTGGTCCTGGAGATGCCCGACATGGCCGGACCGCCTTATCAGTGTGGCGGTGCAAGGAGCTCTCGATCCTTGCAATCTCAGATCCTGGGTGCCTTTGGCTGCCATTTCACGTTCAGTGAATAATCGCGCAGCGGACGGCGCGTATACGACTCACCGCCGTATTGCCCGTAATAGAGTGGGTCCGTAAGACAGCAGCAGAACCATGAGCTAACCACCAACAGCATAGTTTGGTTTCAGCTATCCAGCTCGTTCAACGTGCCAGGCACTGGTCGTGGGGCAGGAGCACTGATGGTTACACCATTTCTCCGATACAGCAAAACCATCTAGACGAAGTTTCAGTGTGGATATGATCGACCGCGCTGACATGAGCCCCTCACTGCTTCCGTGTAAAGTCTTTGCGGGCCATACAACAGCGGCTCGCTCTTCCAGCAGCCGCCCATTCCACAGCCGTCCGTGGAGGAAGTGATGGGGACTGTGCTCGACCCTTCACAATGGATGGCTGAAGTACGTGAGCTGGTGACGGTATTGCGCAACGTGCAGGCCACTCGCTACTTGAGTGGTGAGTCCAGTTCATGACGCGCTTCTGCACGTACTGAAGGCTGCATCGCTCAGCTGCCGGTCTTGTTGTGAGTCTTTAAGTGATTTGTGCGGACGCTGATACTCAAAAGGGAGGACAGGTTTTACTATGGGATCACCTCCTCACGTTCGAGGATGAAGTCGAGTTCGTTTGGAAAGCGGAGTGGGCTGTGCCAAAAGTTCTGTTTCTGGGCCTTCGTTATATTGTTCCTGTTATGCTTATCATCAATACATACCGTAAGTATCTCGTGCTGTGTCCCTCCACGCTGCTCTGATGTGCCTTGTACAGAAATGAGTGGGCTGGTCACTCATCACCTTTCTGACACGGTGAGTATTCATCGCATCGTTCCATTATCGCACGCTGACTGATCCATGCGTAGTTGTAAGTGGCAGGCCCTCTTATGTATCTTCCGCAACACTGAGAACGCGGGTCCAGTTGTAAGGTGTGGCTGAGCCTGGCCATCTACATGGGCATGATCAGCATCGCTATTGGCAACTGTAGGCCGCTCACAAAGCAATATTTTCCCTCGTACTCATTATTGATTCGAACCTCCAGTCCTGGTGTTGCTTAGGCTGTGGATCCTCTGGGACCGGAAACGGGCGCTGGTCTACTCCACGCTCCTTATTTTTGTTCTAACTCAACTCGCGGCGATCGGTACCATGACAGCCATGGTCGTTCGCCTTCTCCGTACGTCCTGCCACAATCACGGAGTCGTCCACTAAATCTTTGGCGTACCAGCTGTCCTATACTTCGACGAACTCATTGATATGTGCGCCCTTGGGACGAAGATCAATGTCCTGTGGCTCTGGCTTCCAGGGGTACGCCTCCCGTGTTCGCACTGAACCTCCACCTCCATTGAACAAGAACATTACAGATTATCTTCGAGGTTATGGTGTTCACGACAGTGTGCTGGAATGCCATAGACAGACCAACATCAGCGCATACTCCTGTTATGAAAGCCTTGTACCGCGATGGGTTCGGTTACTTCGCTGTACGTGAACGTTGTTGACTTGCCTGTTGATGATCCAGGATCCGCTGAAGTATTATCATGCAGGCATTGACGCGTGAGCTACACTTTAGCTCAATTATGCTAGCATTTCGTTGATGGCTAACGCCCCCTACAGTCCTTAGGGTTTTCAACCTGACGCTTGCAATTATTGCACCGGTGAGCAATACGAAGATAATTGACGATGCCACACATGACTGATCAAACCTACGTATAGGTTTCGCTGATGTTTCTAGGCGTCTTGTGAGTGCCCCCGCTCAACGGCGGCCCTGGTGAGAAGAACTGATTACGTCCCAGCTTCATCTGGTCTGCGACGAACATAACCGTGACCCGCCTCATCCTCAACTCCCGCAAGCTGAGCATGCTAGCGAGAAAGGCAGAGGACGACGCCCAGACTGACGATATGCAAGACGACAGCGACGACAGCGTACGACTGCGGCGATACAGCACCGAAGATGGTATTCGGATAGTCAGGGTGGAGACAAGGTCGTGCGAGGAGTACGAGCTTCATTGACTTGCAGGTGTATATGTAGGAATGTGTTGTACTGTGATGATTCTCGTCTGGACGAGGAGTTATGCATCCCTTCTTTCGTGACCGGATAATCTAGGACCTCCCGAGGATATTCAGCCAGCCATCCCCAGACATGCCTCCGCCTCTGGCTGTTGCATGTTCTGTGACTAGTTCAGTATGATTGGCCCTGCATCCGGGCGCCTTGCCACAATGTTCTGAGAAGCACGGCAATCGCCGGAACTCGAAGTCGCGGCTTGAGCCCCAGTCAAAATCGACAATTTTTAGCTCTATTTACTGCTGTTCTGCACGGCTGGCAGACGGAAACAGCGGAGAATAGTAAATCGAGCCTTTTAGCAGATGGCCAGCTATTTAGATCTGTTCTCTCGTATGAGGGATTTCAGCGTAATGGATGTAAATAGACGATAAATAGAGAGGGACATAGTGAAATAGGTGGGATCATCTTACATCGCGTACGATGCACTTCAGCTATTCCCTGCATATTACGGCAGTCCCAATCAATTCAAGTCGATTAAATCAATATTATCAGCGAAGCTCTATTTACATCTATTCATATCTATTTAGTCCTAATTTACAATGTTGATACACAGTCTCACATCCCCTTCATTCCACGTGGCACGAGTACCTTACAATTCTAAGTAAAGCAGGTCAGCACGTACTGAGAAATCGCATGAGAGCGTGCACGTACCCAGAGTCCACATAGCACCCCCATGAATGTTCCTAGATGGGGTAATGAGTAAATTAAACTATCCGCCCCAATGAAAGGTGCATACCTTGGTAACTCTCGATAAAAACCCTCCAGCACCCTATTACCACCGACATCAGCGCACAGGAGAGTAAATAAGATGTATGCACAGATGACTAACAATATAGTGCTGTCGAATAAGACCGATGAAGCACGGAGTAAGCACACGAAGAGAGGGGAGTCGAGTAAGGTGGTGGGGGTAAGAAAGAGAAAGCAGGAATAGACCGCTGGCCTATTTATGACCGCGAAAACGAGCAAGTGCGGAATGATGTCATCGGACAGTCCGTCTCAGCACAATGCCTGAGGTCGGCGGGCACGACGGACAAAGCAGAGGCCCAGCGACAGTCGATGCACTTGCGCGATTGCACGTCCCACCATCCAAAGCCATATCCTTACCTATCCTTACCATATAAAGCAGGCCCGTGCGAATCGACGCAGTCTCAGCACGCATGATTGGACGTCGACTGACCTTAGAACAGACCGAAATAGATAACAACAGATTTTGTACTAGCTAAATAGAACTAAAAATTGTCGATTTTGACTGGGCTTGAGCAGCCACATCCTTGTTGCTCTTAGCAAGACTACGTCCTTCGTCCTTAGCCTCCCTTACGCTACGCCACCAAACATGGCTGAGCGTACAGAGACCGACGTGTCAAGACCGTCCGCGCTGCCCAGCGCTAAGCTGACGAACAGGAATCGAGAAACCCGGCCGTTCGCCGATCTCAAGTCAGACGAGTACCTGGATTCTGTGGAAGAGGAATGGAATAAGAGGGTGGACGCGGAGGTGGACACCTTAGTCGAAGGCATGGTGGATCTTGTGAGCTTGGCTTCGGTACGTTAATCAAGAGCCGCCATTTTTCTTCATACTTGCTAAATGTAATACAAGATCGGGGACAAGGACAAGTTTCGAATCGCCTTGGAGGCGTTCCAGGCTGAAAGTCGCGCTGAGTCTATGGTGTGTTCTATGGCACAACTGCGACATACGGATCCTTACGTCCTGCTTTCTCTATAGGTCAGATCTGCAAATTCTCTACTGTCCATCATACACTCCATGAAGTTATTGCTCCTGTTATCCGACGAGGCCCAAATCGCGAACTTGCGCGATAGCGAGCTCAAGATTATCCAGGAAGAGAAGGATGAAGCGAAGAAGAAAGTCGCTGAGCTGCTGAATGATCTGTTGAAGCCCTCAGAGCTGCGAGTGTGACGACTGGGCCTCCATGGTATCACGGTTTACATCCTGATCGAGTCTCCTCCTCGGCCGTCTTGTCAACAGTCCTATGATGGAGTTGGAAGAAGGCGCTCAGGCGCGCCTCCTGTGATAACCACTGCGCCGGAGTCGGCTGGATGCGACACAGCACCAAAGCCGACTTGTTGCAGCTCTTAGAAACCCAAGGGACTCTACCATGGCGCTCCCGCTTCACGTCTTAAGTGCCGAACTCAATATCGACGGATACTCGTTGAACTTCATCACGACCCGACTTGTTAGCAGATCTGGGACGGAAGGAAAGAACGAGCGGGGGACATTTGGAATTGTATGAGAACTTGTTCTCCCATGACCAGAGAACCTGTTGCTGCCATATTTGTTGTGATACCAGGGCGATGGCCTCACCACATGAAATGATACATGTCCGTCTTCATCATGTCTCTGGAGTAGACGCGCCTTACTGCGCCCGCATGGGTGATACTTATGTCATGAGACAATGAGAGAAGTTGTAGATGGGGTACACTCTGGTACACTGTGATACTGGCTGTCACGCAACCAATCGGACGTACGTACCGCCGTCACGCGAGCCTGATTTCACATGGAAAGACGCCCCAACCCCGCATCAATATAGAGCGCATCTCGGGAGCTGCCAACACAACGTATCCCTCCTCCACCTCCTCAGTTCCTGTACACTATTGCTGTAGCCATGTCGGACATCAAGGAGCCCGGTTTCAAGGTATGCTGCGGCGGGGCTCTATCTCTGAATAACGCCGTTGACCTCCGTGTAGACTTCCGAGATTATTGCGGGCCTCGCCCAGGTATTCCAAACGTACAGCGACGAGGAGAAGAAGTCCCAGATCAAGAAGGTCGGTTTACCTCTGCCAATCTACAAGGATGTCCCCTCACTGGCGAGCAGACGAACGGTATCTTCGAGCTACGCGTGAAGAACGCGGAGGGGAAGGAGGGTGTCTGGACAATCGACCTCAAGAAGTCGGGCACAGTCTACAAGGGAGAGGCTAAGCCAAAGGCAGACGTTACAATCCTCCTTTCCGACGATACGTTCACTCAGCTAGCTGAGGGCAAGGTGAGTACCTACCGCTGTAAATGATGGAATGGCTTGTTGACACGACGAGTGCAGCTTGACGGCCAGAAGGCTTTCTTGACTGGCAAGCTCAAGACGAAGGGTAACATGATGCTGGCAACGAAACTGGACGGTGTACTAAAGGTCAGTGCCCTGCCACTTCTGTATCTTGCTGTGATTCACACACGATCATCGCAGAGCGCCAAGAGCAAGGCCAAACTATGATCTTCTGCGTGTGTATTCATCGTGTAATATGTGCGCCATACCCATCGTAATATCCATTGAGTGGAGGGTCGTAATTTAACAGGACAATATTATTCTACACTGTGAGGCTGAAAACATACAGAATTATCCACAACACAAACAGACCCGGTCCAGAACAAACTCAAGAAAAGCGTCCCCCAAATAGTCCGCGCTGTCTGCGGGGTGTAGGCTGCACGTCGGGACGCAACGTCGACAAGCTATTGAGTTGCTTCATGACCTGACGATACATCAGATACATGAGTGCTACTGGGTGTAAGTTGATACACACCTCCTCCAGTTTGTCCTTGCGTTCCTGTAGGTCCAAGTGTCGTCTGACGATGGGGTTTTCACGTGCAAACTCGACGATCTCTTTGCGATCAAGATCGTAGAGTAATCTAGAGTCGATCTCTCGAGGGAACTAACCGACCTACGTCAGCGCGTCATCCCGTGCCAAGCGCAGAGGGGCATGCTCACCTGGTAAAAGAACTGGTCTAGCAGTTCAATATTGATAAACATGGCCGCGGTGTACGCTAGCTTGTCAGCGACGACATTCAAGAAGGCCTCCGGGCACAAAACGTCGTTTTCGGGACCAGCTTTACACCGCTTGGACTTCAAAGCTGCAATGCGCAGCTTCAAAACGCCCATGCGGTCGTTGTAAAGGATGGCATGTCGAGCTGCAATTTCATCAGAAGCGCCCCGTGAGATACCGGAATGGACGAACCATCAAGGATCTGTGCTGGAGGATACTGGTAATCATCCGCAACAGATTTCGAGTCGTCCTCTGGTGACTCGTCATCGGTCAACAGACGGCGAGCCTTCCGCTCCTTTTCTCTTTGCTCCAAAGTCTTCACATAGCCCATCAACCCAGACAGCCGCCTGCTCCCTCCGACGCGCTTCCTAATCTCCTTCAGTTTACTCTCGCACATCGACATCTCCTTCTCGAACAGCTCCACCGCCTCCTTCCTGCCCATCTCCCACTCCCGCGAATCCACCTCGACCTCATACTTGTACGGCTTGATGCAGTTCTCGACCTGGTCCGACGTGAACCCGATCCGGTCGCGCAGGATCATGTGTGCGAACTGCACGATGCGCTCCGCGGCGCGCGGGTGGAAGGTGAAGGGCTCCCCGGCGGCTATCGACTCGATCAGCGCACGCAGGCCGTCCGCGACGAGCAGCGTCGAGTCCCGGCCCACACCAGATTTCGTGAGGAGAGACGACGCCGCCTCGAGCTTGTGTCGCCAGTAGGGCTCCACGTCCTCGGGTTTCACCTTCGGGTTCGCAGCCAGCTCGCCGAGCTCCGGGACCCGCTTATCAAGCCAGTACAGCTGCTCGAGCACGTCCATCACCTTCTCATCCAGCATCTCCTTGAGCTTCGCGCGGATCTGCGGTTTCTTGAACTGCATGGTAAACTCGCGGAAGCGAGCTTTCAGCAGGTCGACGGTCTCGGCGACGTACGACTCTGCCGATATCCGTCGATCGTTATACTGCACCTTGAATTGGTAGGTGGCTTCCTCGAGCTCAAGCTGCACAGCATTAGTGATGCCGTGCAGTGACGACGCCATAGACGATTCCAGGACCTCCATAAGGCGGCGGCGCAGGGTATCAGTGCCAGTCATCAGAGAGCCGCTATTGAATATCTCCTTGTGGGCACCGAAGTAATCGTGCTCTCCACGTTCAGCAGCTGCAGACGTGGATTCGCGTCTGCTCTTAGAACCAGAAGGCTTGCACACGACGCCGACGTAGCCAAGGTGAAGCGGATACCGGTTCCCGGTCAGGATGCTGGCACCCTGCTCTGGTGGCACGAGATCCATCTTTGTGATCACACCAATCGTCCGTAAACCGAGAGGGTCGACCCGACGACTGGCGCGAAGAGCAGGTGAGTTGGCCAAGTCGACGTCCGCTGCACAGACCGCCAAGATGATATTTGGCTCCCGGATGTACTTGTCGCAGAGAGACACGATCTTCTCCTTCAATGACTCAGGTTGGTCCATGGAGGCGATTTGGATGTATCCAGGAAGATCGATGAGAGTCAAGTCTGGGACGTGAGGGCTGTAAATTCGGAGATCGATCGGATCGTCAGACACGGCCTCGGTAGATGGGACGGCGAGGTTGAGGTCAGTGAGTGTCCGCTGGATGTTAGAGAAGTCCGTAACCTTGCCCAAGCCCAAAGCTGGGAACTCGCCGTATTCTTGTGCAGACCCTGGAGTGTGAATCAACGTGAGCTCGATGGGGCGTCGCGTTACCATGTTGGATCCCCTAGATACGCCTTGTTGAGCAGGAATGTCAAAGTCGGGTGAAGGTACCTACTTTGGCAAAAACTCATGCCCGACAATAGCTTCCAGGACGCTGCTCTTTCCAGAGCTCTGACTACCAATGACAACAATACTGGGCAGCTTCAAGGCGTCACTTTTGTCGATGCTAATGAGCATCCCTCGGATTTCAATCAGCTTCTTCGTCAGGTTCATCAGTCCGTTCTGGTCAAGTTCGGTCGGTTTAGAATCAGATGGGGAGGATGTCGTCGCAGCGATCAGAGCAGCAAGAGCAGCGGCATCGCCCTTTGGCGGTCGTCTTGAGCCGCTCCCGGTCCCGTCTTCACCAGAGCCCTCTCCATTCTCGCCGTTCTTATCGCCTCCAGAGAAAAGGTCCTTCAAGAACTGCGGTGTTTCGAGTTTGGGTATAGAGGGCAGTTCAACTCCTGAGATGCGAGAAGTGACAACTCCCACTCCATCCGACACGGTGTCGAAAATATCCGTAGCGGTGTCCTTGACAGTAGTCATGAACTCGTCCGATTTCTTCTTGAACTCTTGAGTACCTCGAGTTCAGACTTCCCACATAAGTTTGCAGCGAACAGCAGGCGTACCTTCAAATTTATAGTTCGCATACGTGACACCTCCCGCACCTATCGTAGCACCTGCTATTGGCACACGGAACGCGCGGAGGACGAACTTGGGTATCGACGCGTACGACAACGCTCTGACGTGCATATGGCGCAACGCTGCGACATGAGGTGACCCCGGCCTCTGACGAGTACGCGTTCCATTGGATGTCAGGAGAGTGGTGTATTGTCGGTGTACGGGTCTGGCATTCTCGATCCTGCGAGACGCGCTCAGGCCGTACGTGACGGTCTTGCGAGGAGTCTTGAGGATCGATGCAAGTTGTCGGCGCACGGCTGAGTACATTACTGCACAATGCCCAGTAACGCCGCGTCGACGACGAGAGGGCAAGGGAGAGAGAGGTAGCGGTGACCGACGGCGGCGTTCAGTAGAGCCAATTCGCTCGGCAGCTTTGATTGCGTTGCATATGCCGCCGGCGCGTGGTCGACACGCGCCTCGGTGGCGGGAACCGCTCACTTCACAGCTACACGACGGCCTGGTACGGTACTTTCAACCTGATTCTCCTGCCAACATCTTGTAGATCCCCTTCGACGTGCTGATACTGGCCTCTGCTACCGTGAATATTGCCAGACGGCTTCGGACGTCGCGCCTGGATCTCATGCAGCTTATATACGTCTCTGACGTCTGCCGTCGCTCCAACGGGCTCGACCCTCCGCCGTCGTCTGCTGGAAGACCATTACCGCTCAACGCTATATCAGTCGGACTATCCTGTCGAGTTAGTCGGTGCTATAGATACTCCCGCCGAACTGCATCCTCCGTGGCGCCGCAACACGTACCACAGGCACTTCCTAGCCTACGCGATACCCACCGCACGGGCAATCCCATGGAAGGACGTATATTTAGTGGTCTCTGAACCTGAGGCCTTTGCTCTCAGCTACGCGTTCTACTCTGCTCACGCGCAGCCATCGCGGGCACGGAGATTCGGGCCGGCGTTCCCGTCTTAAGTTAGAGCACGGAACGTCGCCTCTCCTGCTTTCCGTACAAGCCACAGTCCAACACTTGTGCAACTGCCATGTCCAGCCCACCACCCTCCGGTATATACGTCCCAGCGGTCTTGTTCTTCGACGAGAACGAAGAATTTGATGTACCGGCCATAAAGGCCCACGTCCTGCGTCTGGCCAAGGTATGTATCATCTCGTCTATCCGTTTATCATCGCGTTGACTCGTTGGTATCTCAGGGAGGTGTTACGGGAATACTGGTCCAGGGCAGTAATGGCGAGGCCCAACACCTCTCCCACGATGAGCGCAAAGAGGCGATACGTCTTACAAGAAAGACCCTCGATGAGAATGGGTTCCAAGACGTGGTCGTTATCGCAGGCACCGGCGCTCAGTCTACACGCGAGACCAAGAAACTATGTGTGGATGCAAAAGAGGCCGGGGCAACCCATGTCCTTGTCTTGACTCCGTCAACTTGGCCTCCTCGGATGACAAAAGATGCAATCATACGCTTCCATCGCGAGGTGAGTCTCACACTTATCAAGTGAGATATCCAAGCGACTCACGCCACGCCATCACAGGTTGCAGACGCATCTCCGATCCCGACCATGATCTATAACTTCCCCACCGTCACGGCAGGCATAAACCTCGATTCTGATACTATCGGCACACTCGCAGAGCACCCGAATATCGTCGGGACAAAGCTCTCGTGCGGGGACATCGGCAAGCTCCATCGGCTCACCTCGTCCGTCTCTCCCGAGAAATTCGCGACCTTCCCTGGCACATCATCAGTATACCTGCAAGGCGTGCTGTCCGGCAGCGCGGGGCTGATCGGTGCACTACCTAACATCGCTCCGAAGGCGCACTTATCGGTCTGGAATCTCTATAAGGAGGGCAAACTGGACGACGCTATGAAGCTGCAGGCACTGCTGGGCCACGCAGACGCCGCTGTCAGCAAGTTGGGCGGTATCTCTGCGATCAAGGCCATCATAGCGAAGGAGTTCGGGTATGGACAACCGCACGTGAGGGGTCCGCTGCTCCCCATCAGCGCGGATAATTTTGGAGGCCCTGGATGGGATAAAGTAAAAGAATTGCTGGAATTGGAGAAATTTCTCATGGCAGAATCGGCTTAGGGGAGATCATGCAGACCATAGGCATTTTACAGTGTCTGTACGTTGAAGTTGAATACAGGGATTAGGAGGATGTATCAACCGAGGAATCTTAACATTTTCACGGCCAATAAAAAGTCGGCCGATGTGACGGTAAGCGGTCATGTCCTACGTCGCAATGGCTCGAATTGCCGATATACCGCAGAAAATCGGGGGCAGTTGGACGAACATGGTACCCTCTGCTGCGCGAGCTCTATGTACCACTGGAAGGAGCAGACTTCATCATATCAGCGCACTTTTCTGCCACCACAACGGCAGGCGCCATTGTATGAGCGGACAAAATCTCAGGGAATATCGACGTGTCGCAAACCCGAAGTCCATGAATCCCGTATACCCTCAGCTCATCGTCCACGACTCCCGGGTGGACGGGGTCGGTCTCTGGCGCCATCCTGCATGTGCAAGAATAGTGGAAACCGCTCCGAGCGTGCGCACGTATGAACGAGTCGAGGCCTTCATCACTCTGGCCTTCCAAAGCTTGCAGATTCTTTAAGGGGTAGCCTTGCAAGCGAATCTGTTCGCCTAGTCGCAGGGCCAATTTGACGCCCTTCCGAAGCACTGCGTAGTCTTCCGCGGTGCTGAGAAATCCAAGATCTACCGCGGGATGGTCCCGGGGGTTCGTGGAAGCCAGCATCACTCGGCCAGTAGACTTGGGGCGGACGAGACCCGGTAAGAGGGAGAACACGCCGAGCTTCGGATACTGGATGTGAGAGCCGTTGACTGGAATCGCCTTGATCTCAATGTCAGCGACATTGTCTTCATCTTCTGGCACTCTAGTCCTAATTTCCGAGTTGTCATCCAGGAGGGACGACTTCACGAACACCGCCATTTGGGTCACGGGCATAGCAAACAGGCCCTTGGAGGATATGAAGTACTTGGCGAGTTGAGATACAGCGCGCCAAGGTTGCACTAGGAGAACATGCAATGAATCTTCTATGGGGGTTTCGAACGTGACAGGTATATCTATGTGATCTTGCTACCGAGGGTTGGTTTCAAGGAAATCTTCACGTGAACGCAGAGAATAACTTACTAAGTGACTGCCCACCCCAGGCATGTCCCGCACCACACTTATACCGTGATCCTGGAGGTGTTCTTTAGGTCCGATGCCGCTACCAGGACATTGATCGTGTCAGCATTTGTCTCCTAACTGGACGGACGGTACCCACCTGAGCATCAACAACTGAGGGGAGCCCAGTGCTCCGCAGCACAAGACGACCTCCCTCTTCGCCCTGGCATAGAATGTCTTCGAGCTTGGGTCCAGCCTCTCAAAGTAGATACCCTTGGCACGGAGACCACTGCTTTCCGTCGCAACTTCGATGCCTGTCACGATGCTTCGCGTACAGATTTTGAGGCGCTCCTTTCTAGGAAACGCGACGTCCGCGGGAAGGAAAGCACTGTAGGTAGAAGCTCGACGCATACTAGCATCAATAGAGACATCGAGCATTGCACAACCCACGGGCGGCGCATCTGGCGCGTTGATATCGGGTATCTCAGGGATACCGAGCGCTGCGGCGGCTGGTCTAACACTATGATTCATGGCGATGAGAGTCAATCTTATGAAAAAGTTCCCATCCGAGACATACTGCTTCAACACTTCAAACTGCAAGTCGGGAAAAGTTTGATTCTCCCAGGGACCTGGGTACGCAGGCCTCAACAATGTCCGGCAAGAATACAAAAAGATCCATACCATCTCCTCCGTGGAAATCCGACTTGGAATGACTTAGTGACTTCTCTGATCTCACAAAATACGGTTTCAATTCGTCATATCCCCAAGCGCTGTGCCCCATATTCTTCCAGTGGTTATATTCCAAGGGAGCGCCTCGTGTATAAAGAAGGGTATTGACACGGGACGTGCCTCCCAGCCCATCGCCTCGGATCAGGGCCACAGACCGGTTGTCCAGGTGTTCCATGGGTAACGATGACCAGTGCTTCACGATTTTACTGCCGCCGTAGGGATTGGAAGAGAGAAATGGTACCCGAGAGGCCCATGTGTCTTCGACCCCGCCTTTCTCTACCAGCAAAACAGACACATCTGGATCCTCTGACAAGCGTGCTGCCAGGCAGCATCCAGCAGTACCACCTAAGGGAAGCTTATAACGTAAGGCACGACGTTCGTTCGACTCGACTCACCTCCAACCACTATGTAGTCATAAGTGGCTTTGGCCAACGAGCTCTCCGTGAAAGGAATCGAGACGCCAACCTGGGTAGGATCACGCTCAGGATACGACGAACCGAAGGGCCACATACTATGGCGGATTGAAGGGGTTGTTTACACCGAAGACAAGTTATTTATAACCTAGGGGACGAGCAACACCTTGTTATAAGCTTTGGCTTGCTCCCACAATATTCATCGCTGACAGAACCGGGACAAGGGCAGTATACGTATCGCAGGCAGTGCTGCATGCGCATGCATAAGCCTGAGATCTTCCAGTGACAAGTCGTCGCGCAGCCTGGCAACTTTCTTCAGCTCGTGATTGGTCCTCCCAGTCGCGCGAGTACTAGTGTCATGGTTTCGGTGTCTGCAGATGTCTTCTACGCGATGACTGCGCAGTGCGCACACGTACGCATGCCCTGCCTAAGAATCAATCAAATGCTCTTGAGACATCATTATGAATATATTCAAGACTGTATATCAGATCCTAGTCATCATGATGGAACTCTCGGGCTGGTGTCCGGGATACTACTTAGTCGTAGCCGCTTGGATCTACCTCGCACGTCGTGCGCGATATCAGCATCTTGTTCTCGAAGAATATCATGATATGCGATAACCCGTGTTCCAGAAGCCCGAGACTTCTGCTCGTAGCCTACTAGTAGGACATCTCATCCGGCGTGATTAATACGTTGGATTGGCTGTGAAGTGCCGCGGTGGGTCCACTGGCACCTGTCCGGAAACACCGAGTGAGCCTCGCAGGTGAATATTAATGTCCCCGTCGGTCCGATGGGAGTTTCGGGTGGCAGGACCTACACATTCGCTCCCCTTCCATCTCATCACTGAGGAATCTTCATCAAGAATCGATGGAGTCAGAAACAAGGTTAAAGTGGCACCCATTTTTCCTCCTTAAGAACCTTAAACCATCCCCCTTCTTCAGTCCTCAGTCCCCTCCCCAAAACAAGACACCCTTAATGGCAGACCTTTCCTCAATTATCACAAGTCTCTACCATACTCAGGTGGTAGACTATTGCAGTGGTAAGGCTTCAGTCTACCTTCATTGGTGACCTGTTCATGATCTGTTTCCCAGTTAGTGCTGTGGCATTCTATGTGTACCATTTCAGTAAGTTGTATGCTCTTATGCCACTTCATATTCATAAAATACCTCCACTATATAAAAACCCTGGCAGTTGCAACATTCCCTCAAGAGGTATGCTTGTTGTGCAGTGTTACCTGCACCAGTTGCTCATGATTTGAGTCTTGACAATAGGTTGATATTGTTTGGGTAAGGAAGCACTTCACCTGCCTCGACTAGTGAACCTAATGCTACTTCAAACAGAAAGCCAAATGGACACATATGAAAATCTTATATCTGATAGTGCGTCTTCAGGATGTCTCTGACATCAAGACTTACTGTGCGACAGAACCGTTATTTTGGACTTCTGGTGGTTGGCTCCTTTCTTGCTCGTGAGTGATAATCACAAGATGGATGCAACATTGTCTTCTCAGCTGCCTGTAACAGTTGAGATGAACCCCAGGCCTACTGTTACCACCTGTGAGTACTGAACTGCATGTTGGATCTGAAAAGTACAGATGATTTTAGCATAGGTAAATTATGGGCTTTTTGGTCAGGATGGACTTGTAAGTGTTACTGTCCCCTGGGTGTCTCTTATTCACAGAAGGGGACTGGCAGCACTTGTGGCAGGGGTAGTTGTTCAAGGTATTGCATTCTACTGCTGTACTAGTATAGCTCCTGAATGCCTTGAGAAAGTGATGCTCCAGCTACGCATACATGCATTGCATCGTCATGGTGAACAAAGTTCTTCTCTCAGTCCAGTTTTGATGCTTATCTTAATCTGTAGATCGCCGGGTGATCTTTTTTCTTACCCTGGGGGCGATTGTGGAAGTTGGTTCGACTGCCATTCTTCAGATAAAACAGTACATTGGTTATGATGGTATGTAAGATACGCATGCTCAATTCTAAACTGCCTTATTCACTACAAGATCTTCACCTTAGTGGAAGTTGTCTCAGAGTATGGTAAACATATCTGCTACAAAGGCAATGTCAGCTTTTTCAAGCATTTCTGGACCTTGATGTGAGATTATGATGCATCAACAGAGCCTGTAACTAATCTAGTAACACAGGGTACCTTCACTCTGCTTTGCTTTCGTGCTGTTGATTATGACACTACGAAAGACTGCACAACATATTCATGAAAGGATCAGCATGCATCTTCCAATGTGTATGGGGATAGGAGGTCATATGTGGGTCATCCTGACTAGAGACTCACTTTTATACTATGTGGGGTATGTCATGCACATTCCTGCCGATTTTATAACCCTTATCAACCTGTTCTGCTAGCTGGTTTGCACTCTACTTCTTGACCATAGTGCTCTGGGTAGCAGCTCCTCTTGATCTGTGGAACCTTCCCCTTGCATGGACAGTTGTTTGGCACACTGCTGCGGGGACACATATGATCCTTAATCTCTCACAGGCATCCCATCTCACTCAATCCCACTACACTTTGACCGTGATTTCTTGAGGACCTATTACCCCAATGGAATTTGCTGTATCTAGCCACAATGGAGCCCTTAACCGAAGGGGGAAGCAAAATGACTGAATGTAATCCTTCCATTCTTACCCTAGCCATGACTCATGTACACTACATCCACACTGTTTCTCAAGGGTATGTCTGATTGAAACACAAACAAGGTCACCCACAGCTTACATTGTGTATAGGCAGTCCCACAAGTCCAGAGGATTATCCAGCTTTCTGACAGTTATTCACTATTTTGTACCATCTACTGCGATACTGCTTGCCAGCCCCCGATGTCAACAGCCATCATGTAATGGTTGGTGGTAAGGAGGAGTAGACGCTAGATTGTCCGACTCGGATTCAACCTAAGAATAACGGGAGGCTATTTTTACCCCGACGCGATACTAAAGTGACTGGCTTCGCGTGACGCCATCGTCGACATCTCGCGCTTCTACCCAAACGTCATTCACTCCGACCGCATACATAAATACGCTCAGCAGTCCGACATGCCTCAGCTACTTGCAATTCCACAATGTCCAAGTTTTTACCGTTTGAAAAGGTGCGTTGTCGTCGTTCTGAACGATACCGAGCACTTACGTCTTCAACTGTAGATTGGCATCGTCGGTGCCGGGAGTATGGGCTCCGAAATGGCCCTGCTATTCGCCGAGCACGGGTTGACCGTCTCGTCTTTTGACGTCGCAGGGCAGAACATAGACAATTTGAAGAAGTACGCCGAATCAGCGCCGGAGGACGTGCGCTCGCGCATCTCCACTTATAAAGACTATGATCCGTTCATATCAAGCCTGGGCGGCAAGGATACCCGGAAGCTGTTCGTCTTTAGTATCAAGCATGGAAGCCCTGCAGACCAGGTTCTTGAGTCAATGGACAAGTATCTAACGAAGGGGGATATTATCCTCGACGGAGGGAATGAGTGGTATCTCAACACTGAGCGCAGGCAGAAAGAGCTGGGAAAGAGAGGCGTGCACTACATAGGTATGGGTGTCTCTGGTGGCTACCAGTCTGCCAGGCGCGGGCCGTCAATGTCACCAGGGGGGAATCCCGACGCTGTCAAGGAAGTTTTGCCTATCCTGGAGAAGTTCGCGGCGAAGGATAAGAAGACGGGCGCTCCCTGCGTGACAGCTATCGGTCCCGGAGGTTCTGGGCATTATGTTAAGATGGTGCATAATGGGATCGAACAGGGCATGTTGGGCATCATGGCCGAGTCATGGGAGCTCCTGTACAAGTGCCTGGCCATCCCCCTCGACGAAATCTCCGCCGTTTACCGTAAGTGGGCGGAGCAAGGTGAACTCGTAAGTGCACAGGGCAACCTCACGCATTCGAGCGTTAGTGATCGCTCTGTTAGGCACGTAATTTTCTCGTGGAGATTGGCTCGGACATTTGCGGCCAGTCGGATGAGTACACCCATTCCGCCTCTCACCTCCTCAACAAAATCCAAGACAAGGTCGTTCAGGACGCCGACGACAGTGAGGGAACTGGTTTCTGGACCATCGTGGAGGCCGCCAACAGGCACGTCAGCGCGCCGACAATCGCGGCCGCCCACTTCCTCCGCGTCGCCTCCTCTGACCGCGCACAACGCCTGCAGGTCGTCGAGGCCCTCGGTCAAGACCTCGGCGCCGCACGGAAGCAGCAGATATCTGATGATGAGAAGAAAGCGTTCGTGGAGGACCTGAGACTCGCTGTGTACTGTGCGACGCTGGCGAGTTTCGCGCAGGGAATGAACCTCATTGCCCGGGCCAGTGACGACGAAGAGTGGAATGTGGACCTAAGTAAGTGTATACAGATCTGGCGGGAGGGATGTATCATCCGCAGCGAGTATATTGCGGACTTGTTGCAGCCGTTGTACGAGAAAGAGCCTGCGGTACGCAATACGCTCACCTTGGGTCCTGTGGCGGATGAGATCAAGAGGACGTTCCCGGCTCTCCAGAGGGTAGTAAAGAGGGCCTTGGAGTGGAATGCGCACATGTAAGCCTGAGGATGGACTGTGCACCGTGGTTCGCTTGGGCTAACGCCAGTCATTGGCAGTCCTTCCATTTCTGCTAGCCTAGAATACTTCAAGTATTGCGCGGGGCTGCACCTCCCGACACAGTTTATGGAAGCCGAGCTTGATTATTTCGGCGCTCACTCTTTCGACCTGAAGGAGGAGGGGCCCGGCGACGTGAAGAAGGGTAAGCCCGCTGTTTTCTTTCCTGTTGTGGGTGCTGATGTATTGCTACGTAGGCAAGCACCACTTCGAATGGAAGCCTGCGTGAATTACTTAGTTGAGGGAGACGAAGAAACGAGCCGGTCGCCCTGTCGGACGACGGAGGAGTACGGCATGACGGCCGACGACCCAGTATATGATGTATGTATTCTTTATTCAGAGTATGTAAACTGTAGCTATGTAGTATAATCGACAACTGTATTATGACCTCTTCTCCTGCGAAAGCGCGTGATAAGGGATCTTCTATGCTGCGGCCCTTGCTGATCCTGCCACGATCTAGTAGGATCTGGTAAAGCTGTGAGATAAGATTTACTTGTAAGTATGAACAAAGCCTCCATGTGCATCAGGACGCATTAGCAAGCGACGTCGAAATGATCGTGCGAACTCAAATCAAGCTGAGACTTTCGTAAGATCAGCAGGTGTCAATCAGTCGATTCAGGTCGTGAAGCAGTGTAACCCCACGCAGATCATGGATAGGTGGAGTTGGTTGTGCAAGTTTCTGTTCTCCCGAGAATCGTCACTTGGTTTTGTTGCAACACGCGTCGTAAGATGTGGACTGTGTGTTAGACGAAGGAGGTAAAATTGGCCTAGGCATCAGATCGTTATATAGACAGCGCCCGTATGACTTTATGGGAAAAAGGCTTCGACTATATCAGGCTGGAAGGAGTCATAGTATCCTACCTTGGCACGCTAGATGTAAGCCCGACGGCGACATACATACCTATCGGGGCACCTTAGATTGTACCCATTGTAGTGAATAACTTTGAGAGCCACGGAGGGAGGGTCCCGGGTCGCACCCAATGTATACCGTATACGTAAATCCACATATGGCCGCGGTAGCCGAAGGTACATATTTCTCTGCGCGGTGCCTTAGATACAGCTGCCGTGGTGCTGAGTATGGACCGCACAAGTATCAGGCGGACGAACGGGGCGCCATAGAGCCATAGAGTCATACAAGATACCCATGCTGAACAAAGTTGCTTTGCAAATGAGGGCTCGAAGCTGATGGCAGCGTTCCGGAACGCACTTGGACTAGGAACAAGTCAACGGCGCAGGAAACGCGCCTCCGTGACGAAATCGTGGCAGGCCGCCGTTGATAGTGCAATTTTATCCCAGGATACACCAATCAGAGCGGTCGCTTGTAAAGACTTGTCCTGATGCTTTGTAAGGACGTACTATAGGTATAGGCGTCCAAAAGATATTTCAACCTCCTTCGGCTTTGCGGGACGAGGCCACATCGACCAGAGAGCGGATCCAACCTGCCAAATCTGTGAAACTTACGCTACATATTTTAGCGACTACAACCGCGAACATACCGACTACTGTGGCTGCAACATCTGGAAATGAGCAACGGATATCTTGTCAATCCTGACAGATCAAGTACTGTTAGGCTTTCCTTCGGCCACCTCAAGTTGGAGGAAGCACTAAGCAGAGTCGGGACTCAGTTGAGCCCGAGCAGACCCAAGCGAGGGCCGGAACGCGCTAGACACTGCGTGTGTATACAGTCCCGGACAACCAAAGACAACAAATTCGGTGACCGGATTTCCTGAGGTCCAGCAGCCGTGGGAACCCCAATTTTATTGCAGAAACGAGTGATTTAGACTCTAAAGAAGAGATTGGCACGAGCCGATTTCCGATAAACACCCTGTAGCCTTCAATAATGGGTCGGGATGGGCCAAAATTTTGGCCGTATACAAAACAAATCGGGAAAAATGCGGAAAATATGCCAATCGACTCCTTTCAATGAGCTGAGTCTGATTCTGGCTTAAATCTAATAATTGGACCAGCTGATATGCCATAATAGCTCTCCTAAGTGCAGGCCAAATATGGCAGTCAAGGTAACATGTGCAATAAATTTGAACTTCCTTGCCAGTGGGCGGCCTCAGAAGGAGGTCTGAAGTATTCGAAAGCCTAGATGCAGCTCCATGCAAGGGTTACAGGTCCCCAAAGGCTCAGGGCATGACCTGGGAGGTCCGGTGACTGTGTAGAATGTCGTTGAAATGGCCCAAAATTTTGGCCGTATCAAAAAGTCGTGGGAAAAATAAGGGGACCTCATTTTTGGATGTTTCCAGCCTCCCTGAGTCCGAATCTGAAGTCGGTTTCCCGCCAAAAAATCTCGTTCGATCAGAAATCAATTTGTTGCCTTTGCTTGTCCGGGACTGTATGTATGGACGAGTTGCAGGGTGCAGAGCTCTTCCGAAAAACCAATTGTAGGCGCATGCATGAGATTGTACCTAACGCTAGACTGCGGGAAGATCACAGATGAATCAAGAGGAAAGCCACAGCGCGGTTGCCAAAAGCGCGTTTCACAAGCGTAACCTTAGATTGGGGTTTAGGCGGCATCCTGGCGTGAAAGAGCTTGTCTATATCAGGAGACGATCTACAGCTGCAGCTCGAGCCTCAGACGTATCATGACGCGACTGCGAGGTGGTAGCTCAGTGGGATTGCTAGCAAATTGCTAAACCTCCATGTTGGCGTTCCGTCCGGAGCTATCACTGGCTAGTGCTGTATTAGCCTTTGCGTATGATACCGAATTAACATTACGTGCTTGCTATCGACCACAGCCTACTAGTACTAGTCCAGTAGCACGGAGGAAATGCAAGATCCCCACAATTTTGATGGGTAAGTGACTGGATCTAAATCTTCGTTACATATTTTGTTAACTGACACGCTGATACGGTTCCCAGCAATCACAGCATCACGGGCTGCTGTATGAAATGGACGTGAGCGCTTGTTACGCCTTGCCGAAGGCTGTACTATCATGACTCTATGGAGCTTCTAGGCAGACCAGCCTTAGTAGGGTAATAAACTGGGCAGCAAAAAAAACGGCAACGTTCGAACTATTGCAATTGTGCCGCCTCTACTTGGCCAGATGTCGCACATCTTCCCCCTCGAGCAATTAGCTCAGCATAAGCTTTGCATGAACTTTTCAACGCCCGGCAAACCACCAAGCATTGAGTGGGCCCCACTTACACGGCCGATCAGCCTCGCTTCCGTGTCTGCTTGTCTATCCCTCCGAGTGGACGTTAGTGTCGCAAATGGAAGGAACTCTATGGCTTTGTTCATTATCGAAGATCCCGAGGCCGTGGTAGCGCAGGATACATCTCAGTGCGACGATGGGTCGTCTTCATCGGTATGCTTCCTTACTTCCGGCGCGTGGAAGGCGTGCTGACTTGAGCGGACTGGTCCGACAGAGCCACACAAAGCCAGGGCAACGCATGATTCAGAACTTCCAAGCTTCTAGCTCGACCCTGATTAGCTCGACCATGCCGTCCCTGACCATGACCCCAGAATGCGGAGGACAACTTTTGGCGCCTAAGCAATCCATAAAAGCTGCACACTCTCGGTTGGCAGAGAGTCATTTGGAACGTGGTAGGCCTGAGGTCCTTTGTTAGCGACGTAAAGTCTTATTCCATGATTCACAGATGATGGCGGTACGAGCCGGCGTTTGAGCGCCCACGCCAGCCCGTTGATACGTCCCAACACCCCTTTAGCTCTGTCAGCCACCCATTCTACTCCTCAAATGCCGCTTAGCGTCAGCTGGATCCCGAACCCCGGGTATGAGTGGCAGCATCTTCCCGATACATTCCAATGGGAAGGCTATCCGGACGGCTCACGCATGCATGTCGATCGTGGACATACAGGTGAGATAATCTATACCGTGACGCCGTGACGCCTGCTGAAATGGCATTTGGTAGAGCATGGCATGTTAGATCAGATGGCCCATTATACAGATGATTCGCCAGAGGCGACCTATGGGAATGGGGAACAGTCTTCCGTGCACCTTGACAATACTTGGACGCGCAGCGAGGGTACAGACCCAGCAACATCCTCCTCAAATTCGAGTCTCTATCAAGCTGTATCGAGTTATCCTGGAGCATCCTCTGACCTAAACAGCAGCAGTTCAACCGAGTCTGCGGCCGCTGTATTGACCCCAGGCACTGACGACGATGGGACCTCGTCGTCGTCCGTGGTCGGAGATCATGATTATTTTTCTACCGTGCAGCCCCATCACGAACCCTCCCCTGCACCGTCATCCGTTGCTTCCGGGTCAACCGAAGACGGCGGTCACTCAATACCCCCTCGCATACACTGCAGATATGAGGGATGCAACCGGACCTTCCGGAATGAATATACCTATAGCGTGCATGCGGCCGTCCATACCAAGAAACAGAAAAAGCGGTTCCAATGCCCGACATGCCACGAGACCTTTTCTCGACGGCACGATATGATGAGACATGAGGTGAGATCAAGCGAATGATTACGAGAGAACGATGCTCATCCTGCATACAGGTGTCTCAACACGGGAAGGTGCCTGACTGGACATGCGACCGGTGTCGGCGGTTCTTCTCGAGTGAACTGATGTTCAAGAATCACAGGTGCCCTTCAACACGGAAAGGGATCAAGCCTGCGTTTGGTCAAGAGATGGCTGGACTGTGTTGAAGGGAGGCTCGGGGGTTCATCACGGCCGGTTTTGGCATCTCATACTGGGTGTAGAGTATTACAAATAATACTTGATGGCATAGTGGGTCTCTCGTTCCAGGTGCATCCCAGTAATCATACTGTATACTTGTAGAATATGTACTCAGGACGCATAGAATCTCGCAAGCACCTGAGTGCCAGCCGTCACCGATTTGTGGCTTCATCTCAGAGAGCCGTGGTTTCTCACGATAAGGCTATCCCCTTTGAGTATCATGATGATATGATCTCTTACCAGTGCCGCAAGCGCTGTGCTCTTCAGATCCACCGGCTACATACACAACATGTCAGCCTTGCTTGTGGTGGACGTACAATACGATTTCATCAACGGGTCATTGGCGGTCAAAGATTCTGAGAGCATTTTGCCTGTTGTCCACGAGCTCCTGGACGATGCGAAGTGGGACTTGGTTATAGCGAGTCAAGTAGGTGTCAAGGCATACGAGCATCTCGATGATAAGCATGAAGTGGTGAATACATGCCATTGTGTAGGACTATCACCCAGCTGGACATGTGTCTTTCGCGTCAGCGCATAACCTTGCGCCTTTCCAACCCGTCCGGTTGCCCCATCCCATTACACACGAGCAGCCCACAAGCGTAGAAGCGGGAGAAATATTGAAAGGAGCCGCACCCGAAGACACGATCGTGCAGATGTTATGGCCTGACCACTGCGTGCAGGGTACTAAGGCTAGTGATCGCGTTTGCATAACCTGGGTGCAACAGCGTGGCTGACCTCTGAGTCTGCTCCCCATGGGTTGCATAGGGAGCCGAGCTGGAAGAAGGTGTCCGCGTGCGGCTCGAGAGACTGGGACCCAAAGCGCATATTGTGCGGAAGGTGGGGATGATACTTCATGTACACGCGAACGACAGAGTCGACGTCGACTGTCTCGCAGGGTTGTCATCCGCACATAGACGGATACTCCGCCTTCGCTCTCAATCACTACGTTAAGTTCACCGAGCTGCCTCGGCTCCTATTTTCCAAAGGAATACACAAGGTCACTATCGTGGGCCTAGCCACTGATTACTGCGTGCGGGCAAGCGTTAGTAGGCGTTCTCCTCCCTGTTGTCGACTTATGCTGTATTTCGAATTCATTTGTCATAGGCCATCGATGCACGCAAGTTCGACTTCGAGGTGGACATTGTTCGTGCCGGCGTCCGCGGGGTATACTCGGACAAGGAAGAGACTGTCCTACAGGAACTCGAAAAATGGGGATGCAAGATAATCTGAGGTGGAAGCACGGCGAGAATCGGTACGTCCAGTAAAAGTTATCCACTGTGCACTAGGAAGCGGCTTCCTGCTATGCAGCATTGTTTCTATTACCAGACACCAGTGGCTGGATCTCAACCTCAGTTTTCGTCAGTGTGAGGTTGGGCCTTGTCCAGCTAGCCCGCCGACGGGCGAAAAGCAGTTGAAAGATGACGATGGGTATTATTACTAAGTAAATGGTGTGCTCGTATTGGTTCACCGGCAGGTAGACACTGGGGAGCCTTCTGCTGATAACGCCTATAGGGTTCGTCTCGCACTGATGTTTATCAGATGTTTGGACGCGACGGCGGTGTAAGGCGTGGATATGAATACGCTGGTCACAGGGCTCTGATTCGCTGCCGGTGCCATTAAATATTAGAACATCGATGGCGGCGACGCAGCATGATAAGACGACAACATACTATGACGTCGCATGCGCACACCATAGCTTTTCACTTACTCTTTTCTTAAACCTTCATAACTATCCCACAGACCGATCTTCTGCATTTGGAGACATGACTACCGCTGGATCCGTAGATCGACAGAGCCTGTTCTCGGTGGAGGGGTTGGTGGCTGTCGTGACCGGCGGAGGAACAGGTGACTCCCAGGATACTTCGTCTGACATGTGTGTTCATGGAGATATGGAGTATAGGCATTGGTCGTATGATTGCAACTGCTCTAGAGAATAACGGTGCTACCGTATACATCGTGGGCCGACGATTGGAAGTTCTGGAGACAGCTGCGAAGGAGAGCAACGTGAGTGATCGAACGTGTTCGACCGTTGGGGAACTAGTACTAAGTGGCAAGCGCATCCGACGTCGCCCTGCAGAAATTCGGAAAGTTAATCCCCTTGCAAGGGGATGTAACCAGCAAGGATTCCCTCCTTTCGTTGGTCGAGACGCTTGGGTCTCGCCATGGTTACATCAACCTTCTAGTAAACAACTCCGGAGTGATGTTTGCGCCTCAGTCTCGTCATTCTCTCGAACCGGTTAAGGATATCAAGGAATTGCAAGCCCGGCTTTGGGACTATTCCACGCCAGAGCAATTTGCAAAGACCTTCGAGGTAAATTGCACAGCGGTGTATTTCACGACAGTCGCCTTTCTAGAGTTGCTGGATGCGGGGAATCACAAAGGCGGTATCCACGGAGTGACGAGCCAAGTCATTACTGTCTCAAGCATCGCCGGGATGAGGAGGGATTCGCAGATGTTCAGCGCTGCCTACTCAATGAGCAAGGCCGCCGTGACACACCTGGGAAAGCTATTGGCGAACATTCTGAAGGACCAGAAGATACGGAGCAATATCATTGCCCCTGGCCTTTACCCATCAGGTACGGAGCTCCAACGGCGGCGATAGGCGCAGCGCTAACTCGCATGCAGAGATGACAGCGGAAATGTGGTCCGAGGAGCTAGTCCAGAAAGGTGTCCCACTGCAAAGAGGAGGGGAAATACAGGATATGGGTGGTCTGGCATTATTCCTGGCGAGCAGAGCAGGCGCATACGTTAATGGGACTCTACACATTAGTGACGGTGGCAGGCTCGGCCTGTTCTCTTCGACTTATTGATTCCGTCAGAGCATACTAGGGTGTACCCGAATGTACGATAGGATCTTGCTAGATGATGACAGAGCATACTTGCGAGGCGACGGAGCGGAATAATCGATATTCGCAGAAGGAAATAGCAAGGAGGTCGACGGATGAAGCATGGCATATAAAGGAAATCCGACCCCCGTCCTAGCCAGAGACGGAGAGCATAACTGACAGGAGCCTCCAAGACGTTGACCAGGTCTTCCATGCTGTGACTCACTTTCCCGAAAGCAGAGACAAAGGTATCCTGCTATCACCGCTCTAACTGACATCCGTTTCCATGTCGTGATCATGAGTCGCGCGGAGGCCTCCAGCCAGTTTCGCAGGAAAGGACGAGGGAGGCCGTTTCGGTCGGCGCGCGGGCTAAGCGGAAATATATCGCTGGTAGGCAATCTCCGCACGAGCGCAGGGTTCTCAACGGCATCTGCGATCCGCCGGCATTGACAATGCAGTGAGAAGCTCACAGAAAGGGTGAATCAGCGGGGGCGGTAGCCATTCGACGTTGGACTTTGTACTGCGCGACTATGCCGCCGGACACGACTAGGGCGAGCTCATCGCGAAACGCAAGGAAAGTCGTCCTGAGCGAGGAGGAGTTGACCCTCAGAAGAGCTCGCGGGGAAATATCTTGTGCGGAATGCCGAAGGTCTTGCTTCCTCCAGTCTTGTCGTCCGACCGTGGCGGTTTCTTACTGCTGTGATGTTTGTCAAGGCTCAAACTCAAGTGTGACAAAAGGCTGCCGTGTAGTTCATGCGAGAGGAGGGGCTGTCCGAATATCTGTCCGAATGGTATACCTGTTCGCAGACTTGGTCTTTATGTGGTAGTACTGACGTCTCCGAGGGCAGGCACGTTGGCAGCAGGGCAGGGTTCAAGGCGTGTGTGTTGAGTCTTTGCGTGGCCAGCCCTCTAAACCCAGTTGCAGGTTCATTCTGTCGGACACCAGGGATCTGCATCGGAAGATCACTGAGATGTCCCAGAGAATTCGCCAGCTAGAAGATGCACTCGCGGTATTTCAAGCTAGCATCTCTAGTGAACGCCATCCTCTGTTATCTGAGGAGCTTACCGCAATCAAATTCTGGCCAGAAGTCAGGCCCGAACGCGAAGAAAATTCAACAACTCGATTTGGCCCCGTAGGCTCGCTGGATGCATTCGGCACTCTTTCAGTTGGAGAGCAAGGTGAAGCCAAGTACTTCGGTCGATCTGCTGGAGGCGAAGTGAGCGTTTTATATTGTGCAGATAGAAAATGTGTTCATGCTTCTTCTCAGGCTCTTCTATTAGTACGTCTCAGTCCGTTCCCCTCGCTCGCGCTGAACACTTAGTATTCACCTGGAAGGTGGGTGCTGACATGGAGGGTGCCCCGCCGCGCAGGGATGATTCTGCATCCACCCAGGATGAGCTATCGAGGATTCTGGGAAAGCTCCCCCAGGATTTCCTAGGCAACGCAAGTGATGAAATACTCGAACTTGTCTGGAATGAACTTCCACCACAAGCACGTGAGTACGCCCATCTGTGTCTCCAATGGTGTACCTCACTGACGAGCTACGCAGGAGCATGGTCACTTTGCGAAACTTATTTCGAGCATGCCTCATGGTTCTTTAACTGCGTCACCCGGGACGAGATTGTGAACGAAATGATAGCTCCGGTCTATAAAATGGTCAAAGACAGAACACGGCCTGACTTCAACCCTAGAGATATGTCCTCAGTAGGACCTCATACCATAGCCGTCCTCTATTTCACATTCGCAGTCGGGGCACTCATGGACTTGACGTTGCCTGCGTACAATTCCGAAGCTGAAAGATACTTCCGCCTCGGGCGTGCCGCGTTTTCCTTACGCTCGGTTGTTGATTCTCCGGTGGTTGAGACGGTCCAGGCTATAGCACTTATGAGTGCCTACCACGGCTTAGACGGCCAGCGATACACAATGGATAGTTCTTGGTCACTGTGTGCCTTCGCCACAAAACTGGCGCAAAGCGTATGTTCTCGTGCCCCTTCTGTTGAGGCTCTCTTTAACGTTTGTCCTGTTTCCAGTTAGGTCTTCGTGCGTCCCTTAAGTATAAGGAAGGGTTCCTCACGACTTACAGCAGTGACTAGATCGTGATTGTGCTCGCTGGGGTCTTGATGCCAAGACTGTTGAGAGAAGAAGAACCGTATTCTGGGCTATATTCACCGGTGATGTTATGCTGGTAAGTATCGAATCTCTTCGCATCAGCTATGAACTCAAGCAGTACATAATGAAGAGCATCATGCTCGGCCGACCCCTGTCGACCCCTCTCTCGCATATCGACTGCGAGTTTCCCACCGATCACGCACAGACTGTCAACGAGAATGGAGAACCTGAGCCTAGCTGTAAGTATCTTTCTTTGAGTCTAAAGCGCCTTAGTAGATCATTACGGATTGTCCAGACAGCGCGTGGCGTTACAAAGTCGTTAAGGAATTAATGGCTCCCATCTGCGAGCGTATGCTGGCAGCTGAGCCCCCAAGTTACGAAATTGCCCTTGAGCTGGACGCTAAAGTTCGCGCTACGCCTGTACCCGTGTCGTTCAAGCTGTTCCTAGGACCTGAAGACGAAGATAGGCCTTCTATGATTGTGCAAGCATACTTGTTATCGCAGTATCGTATGAATGGTAGACTTCCCAATCATATACCGAGGTGAAAGGTCTGACATGGCATAAATAGCTATGCTCGTGATCCATCGAAGCTTCTTGTAGGTCTCATGGCGAGAGTCCGGATCATATCTGACTCTCTTTGCTTGCAGTGCTCAGGCATTACTGGACCATCCGCTCAACCCATTCCGAAGTCCCTATGCGCCATCTTACCTTGCAGCATATCGCTGCGCGTCTGTGGTTATCAAGTCCAGCATCCACTTCTTCGATCGTTGCCCGAATCTCATCGTACGGTTCGCTTCTTTCTGGTCCCATGCATTCTCAGCCACGGTGAGATATTATACTTGTCGTTTCATATGCGTCCGCTCATATCGCGTCCAGCTCATCATGGGATTCGTCGTGACCCGCACGCCAGCATCAAATATTGCTGCCACAGCATTTGTCGAGTTCAACGCTGGAATCGAGCTATTCCAGAAGGCGGCGATAGATAATTATCGAGCAAGGAGGGCACTGGTATGATAAAATCATATATGCTAGGATCCATGACATAATTGCTTCCAGCTCGTTCTCAGGAAACTGAAGGTAAGGGCGGATCGTGTCTATTCTCGTTCCGGCCCTCGAGACCGCCCACACGATATGGACCAAGACTCGAATGCAGACGTGGACAGAGGGCCGGATGAGTTAGCCGTCTTCGGGGGGAAGACAAGCGCCTTGCCGACGAAATCCCTGTCGACAGCTTGGTCAAACACTTATTCACGCTCCCAGTCGACAACTCCATCGAGCCGAATTGACGCCGCGTTCTCGCCTGCCTCCGACGGGTCGGGCGTGTTGCCCAGCCCTCCAGGCCTGGCGCAGCCGTCTCTTGCCAGTCAGGTCCCACCATTACAATGGTCAGATTTGGCTTTTCCGTCCGAGTCGCAAGCACAAGAAGGCCTGCAGGTACCTTCTCCCGGGGCATTTATGGCCGCTTCGCAAGCGGGTCTGTTTTCCGCACCCTCAAACGTCTCGAGTCCTCAGCAGCAGATGTCTCAAGACTACTACTACGGGACAACGGTGGCTCCTGCACCGGCTGATCTTTCTTATATGGGTTTGGTGCCGGAGGGATCAGGTGTCGATAGTCAGTGGATGTCACTTTTGCGCGAGTCTGGCCTCTTAGAGCCAGGGTATGACGGGATGCGGTACGACATGCAAACCGGATAGCACAGCCTCCGAGTCTTTTTCCTTGTGACACCATTGCATCTGAACTTGCTACTAATAGGTCATACACATGCTGGATTAGGATAGGAGTTCATGTAGAATAGATTGAGCCTGTACAGAGCAGGGGAAAGCAGGGGATTATATGACGGGAAAAGAAGGGCGTCAAGCACCTGACTCGACGAAGCTGAGCTTTGCCTACAATCTGCAACTCCGTCCGACATTACCTTCGACTTTCCTCAGATCTATCTCGCCATAGCCGGAATACGCTAGGCCCCGAAGGTTCCAATCAGAGTCTGCTGGTTGGACGGCGCCGCTCTCGTCAATAGCGCGGCACCAAACGCGCTCTGCCGCGTCTGAAAGCTCCAACGTTGCCTCCCACAGTGTCCAACTCCATTTGCCTTCCTGATACGTTATGTGTGCATCCCGCCATGTCCGGCCGGAGTCGATGCTGACTTCAACTGCCTTGACTTGGCCTGTCACACCTGCCATGGCGTAGCCCTTCACGCAGAGGAAGGTCTGCGGACTGGTTCGAAGGGAAACGGAGGCAACCACCGAGTTGAGTGGGTTGAACTGCAGAGGCGGGACCTTGCACCACCAGCCCCCAGCATGCGCTTGGTCGCGGGAGCATACCTCTTCGGGAAGGACCTTGTAGTCGCGTTTGTGGTAGAAGTTGTCGGGCTCCCGGTCGGAGACCAGGATGCTGTCGACCCATTTGACCCAACGAACCCCGGTGTACCCGGGAACTACGACTCGGAAAGGGTAGCCATGCTCGGGCGTCAACGGATGTCCATTCATCTGCCAAATCAATGTCACACATATAGCTCGTATCTGGTACCCCCCTTCCTGGCGCTCACCTCATAAGCTATAATGACATCACCTTCCTCATCCATGGCCTTCTCCAGCGATATAGACGTTCCAAACCAATTGTCATCCGAACAGGCCGCGATGTGCGATCCCATGCACAAGTGCAGCGGCTTATCGTGTTCTGCAGGAGGACGGACACCGGCAGCGAGGAGCAGCTGTCGCATCGACACACCCGCCCACCTGACATTGCATATAACCCCTTCATTCCATTTCACGCCGTCGACATTCCTCTTCTTCCTTTCTGCCATAGTTTTTCGCCTATTCCCTGCACACTGCATCCCGTAGTAAGTAACACGACCAGTCGTCAGTGGGAAGAACGCACTTGGAGGGCTGCCACGACCTCTACACGAGGAAAAATCCTCTTGAGATCATCCAACCTGAACTGCAGAGCATTCTGAACAAGACCCCTGACAGATAACGTGAACGTATCGGCCTCCAAGCACTTGACGGGGGCTGAAAGCAACGTTCAACACTACACGGCCCGCGAAGTAGATACAGGGACATACAGTGGTTGCGACAATAGATTAATTCATCCGGGGTGTAAGGTTGCGCGACGAGGGCAACCAAGTCCGGTTCCGCGTTATATGGCTGCTCCTGCAAAACGCTGAGACGGTTGCTAAACGAAGACTGGGTGGAAGGATCCATGATTGCGTTGAGACATAGACTCCATAACCTTTTATTTCAGAGTGGAGCCTTCTCGAACCAGTATGAGACACCGCTCCCCGCTCCGTACGAGGAATACGGACTTCTCATTTCCTCCGAGTACGTCAGATTGCAGGGTCGACAGCGCAGAGAAGCACGTAAGATAAGGTTTCTACGCTTTGGAAACGTCGAGTCTGACATGGTGAACGAAACCGGTACCCCTTTGCAAAGCGAGAAGAGTGCTGCTGAGGTTCAGCTTGGGTTCAGCCACAGCGGGCACACTAGTCCTCTCAGGTAATTTATTACATCTGACACCACAGGCTGAATTCTGTGCGCTGCTACGGCCTTTTATCTCTACAAAACACCCAAATCGCCCGATACTCTTTCGAGTTCTTTTCATTCTCATTCGGTCATTATCTGGTCGACATGGCTCGAGGTGCAGGGTGAGGGTCCTGACTGATACATGACAGCAATAATAGCCATTCGGAATTGAGAGCAGCTGACGCCCACGCAGCGCTCAATATCAGGTAGAGCTAAGCTTGTACTTAGCCCATAGCATGCTGGAATGAAGTATCGTCGGTCAATACGGCAGCCTTATCCAGCTCTTCGTGTCCCGATGCCCTCGGCGCATAGTGGAACAACCTCGGCCGCAGTCCCTCTACTGACAGTCGTGTGTGTGGAAGCCCATGCAGGTCAGTGTTATTCAGCCCTTCTATCTGGAGCAATGATACACGAGGGAGTGCTACATCCAAAACGAACGAAGTAAATAAATAGAGGTGCAAGGATCGAAGATTGCTGCGAATGGTGCTGGTCGTGTCTTGTCTTGTGGCGAAAGGGCGGTTGTGCCGGACATCCACCCCACTAAATTAGAACTGGAAGAGACGGGAGCGCTTGGCGGGGACGTTGGTCTGAACGACCGGGACAACGACCTTCACGGCCTCTGGAGTGGATGTGGACCTCGACGTCACAGTGGTTGTAAGCATGGTGAACTTGGCAGCTGAGACGGGGCCAGCCTTGGCTGCAGTGTTGGCGCAAGGACCGTTGTCGTCCCAGGCGCCGGAGGATCCTCCAGGGGTTTCAGCGTAGTTCCATTGATTCGCCGTCCAGACGTCACCGCTTGCAGGAAGCTATCAGTATCGCAAGCAACGTCCACAATGGACCCAAACACGCACTTATACAGAACCTGGTCGCCCGCAGTGTAAGCAACGTTAGCCACCCAAGCCGATAGAGATCCACAGCTTCCCGAAGGTGTGGTGGTAGTAGAGGTGGAAGCCGTCGAGGTCGTGGTCGTGGTCGTGGAAGTTGGCGCGGAGGTGGTAGTGCCAGAAGAAGTGCTGGTGGGAGCGGATGAGCCACCAGTGAGGTAGCTCTTGATGGCCTGGTCATATCGGTTGTTGGCTATAATTCCAGCCGCCATCACTCTCAGGTGAATCATGCTTCAAGCACACGAGCAGACGAACCGTAAGCCTGAGAAGCATCCCACAGCATGACGCCTCCGAACGACGAGTATTGGGCCTTCATGGCCTGAGCGATGCTACCGAGAGTGGCAGCATCGACATATCCGGAGCCGGCGGCGGTAGATGATGCAGGGGCGCCAATGTAGATCTTCACGTTCTTGTTGGGTGAAGTGGACTTCGCCCAGCTGTCCCACTGGTCAAAGTTCCAATCGTTGGCGTTGTCGTAGTTCTGCAGGCCGCAGTAGTTGTTGTCTGCGAAGTACTGTAAGTCTCACTGCGAGATTTGAGGGAGGGGCGATGCGCACAGAATTGGACGTAAAGCGCATCGAAACCTTCGGCATTGATGACGCTGCCGAGATAGGCGTCTGGGAATGGGCATTGGGGCGCGCCGGTGATGTAATAACTAGATTTACTCTGAGCCCTCCAGTGATACCTATCGAGACCGGAGACTCACGTCTTGGAACCGCCGTTCATCAGAGTGCGAAGCGCACTGACGAAGGTCGGGTAGTACTGCGCAGAACCACCCTCAATGTCGAGGTCGATTCTACAGCAGATTACTGATCAGATAAATGTGGTATAAAGGATCATAATGACACACCCGTCAAGGACAGCGTTACCGAAGGGCCTGATGTCGCTGGATCCACCCAGCAAGAGGTTCCAGATGGTGGTAGCGAATTCGGTGGCCTGGGCGTCTGACGAGAAGCCGTTCGCGCCAGTCGCACCGCCCAGACTCATGGTGACGATCTTGCCCTTAGATTGGCACGTCTGAATATCGGAGGCCAGGAAAGAACAGTCCGGTAGTTGCGTGTTGGGGAACACGGCATCGTCATTGACATTACAGATCTAATGATGTCGGTCTTAGAACCGGTGGGTGCACCGCAGAGAAGGACACCAACGTTGGAAAGATCCAGGGATGGCTCGCCGCCGGTACCGAAGAAGACGTTCAAAAATGCCATAGGAATGGCATCGATGGTGTCATCCTAGGGAACAGGTTCAGGTCTATTCCGGTGCGCCCACAAATGCGCCTACCTGGCAATAGTGTGTTAGGTTGGTTTGCCAGTTAGCGGTGTCGCTGGAGTGCGTAGCACCGTAGCTGTTCTGACCCCAATAACTGACGACAGTCGGTCACTAAGCGCAGGTCATATGCAGCAGCATCGAAGGACTCACACAGCCAACTATTTGTATGGGAAGCTGTTAATACGCCGCCAAGGAGGTACAACACAGTTCGAGAACACGCACGTTATCAGTGGCAGAATTGTCGAAACCCAATACTCCGGATGCGCCGAAGATTAAGGCGACCGAGGCAATGGGGAGCACTGCAAGGACCATGACGAGGATCTTCACCAATCTGCTGAAGGAGGGGAAGCAGATGCTCGAGAGAGCTGATCTGGAGTTGAGCGTTCCCGTCGAGCCCCCTTATATATCCTCCAGGACCCCCTTCCATCCGAGAACGAGTGAAACTGCGGGGTCAACGCTTCGGGGGAGGCACATTGATAGTTACCCGTCGGCCTATGTGATTGCTTCTCCAAGAATACAACGCCGGATGCAGGAGAGTGCGCCGAGGTGTTCCCATGCAGCGATGAGGGCGGCACCGCGATTAGTTATTCGGGAACAGCATTGCACGCATGGTACCGTTGAGTAGGGACTGGTGTACATATGAGTCGACTTGGTAGGTTCATCTGTCGCGACGTCATCAGGTCGTCCACCGGAAACAAATAGGTTGATCCTTTGCGTTCGTGCATGTGTGTCCGGCAGGACGAATTGGGGATATTGCACCTATCGTTGCCAGATAAAGAGAGAAGACCCACGTCTCATGCCTGAGTATACTGCTTCCAAGAAGCCAAGTGAGTGAATCGCACCTTATGCTATCTTATGGATCTACGGGAGTGGCTTCGATATCCGTATCTCATTCCGAGACACCTCAGCCATGCTAGCCTTCCGACAATCAGGATAAAGATTGCAATGCAAGTACTCGGGTCCCCGCGCAGGCGACGACGCCGCGGGTGCGATTTTGATCCTTTCTCGGTTCACAAGGGGTTTCCTAGTGTCATAATCCACCTTCGGACGGGGTCCAACCTAGTAGTATGGACCGCAGGTGCTGCGCATCAGCTGTGAACAGTACAACACCCATGACCGCGTAACCATGGGCGCCATAATCATGCGCCATGTGGGCAGCAAGGGAGCAGAGAGATCCGCTTGGAAGCCAGTGTGGCCATTCCGCTTATACCATTCCTGTCCATATGAACTCTCCAAAGATAGATAGCTGTAGGTTATAGCCAATTTACGCCCATCAACGTGCCCATAAGGATGGCGAGCGGCGCAACTTGAGAAGAGCCTGCTCACGTCTCTGTACGTTCTCGTCCATGCAAGTCCGCGACCGATAACAAGAATAGGGAATGCGTTCGGCCGACTTACACACATTTGCGACGAACTCGAGCTCTCGACGATAAGCCGGTGCGAAGCCTTCTCCCAGAGAGATGAACTCGGACTGTCCGACGACCAGGTATGTAGCGGCAAAGAATTGGTAAGAACGTCCGGCCTGTCCGAATCTATCTCGCAATTAGACGCCACGATACCCCTCCAACTCGCGCCTCGAGGCTTACTGCGGACTTCTATCAGCCTAGAATTAGCGCACTGCGTGCGACTCTCCTCGAGCTATACGAAGCCATAGCACGTCCTGTGACTGGCTCTTACGGGGCCCTGTGATCTTAATTGCTACGGTCGACAAGAGCTTTTTCTCTAAACTCCACCTAGGCCTCGAGCGCAATAATAACTGACGAGAACTAGGGTCTGTAAGTATTGGATGGCTGCTCTTTCACTCGCAGATGACAACCACCCAATTGTCAATGGACGGTCATGGCAAGGTGAATGGTCCCATTGGCTAGGTCATGACGAAACGCACCCTCCTACGGCTCGGGGTTGAGATGGCTACAGGCGTCGGCGTAGGATGGTGTATTCGTTGTTACCTGGTGAACGCAGTGCACAGTTGAAGACATATGCACTCAGCCCCATCTCATGACGAATGGGCAGTTTCCGTATCGATATACTCTAGTACAATCAGGTACGTGTACATGTAATACTGGTTGTATGCGCGCATCAATTTGAGCGTTTCGCCGTATGTTCTGAGAGCGATGATGCTCAGAGGCGAGATGACCGGTACCGTTCGTTTGTCTGTTAATACTGATATGACCTGTATACCCGCTGCGACACATCCTCACATACCCATGTCCTCCAGCCGCATGAACTGCCCGCGTCAGGACAGCGCGGTGCCATTGTCAACCTAAAATGTCATCATTGCTTCCTATTCACATTGCGCCGGAGGATGTACATCGCTGTGGGGTCCATGGTGTGTAGGGGCGGACTGTTAGCCGTGATATGTCTGCCCGTATGCAGATGGAGAATAAGGCTGCGGCCCATGTTCCTTTACATGTCTGCCGAGGCACGCAGTTATTGCACTTCACACAGATCAGGATCTAGTTGCTGCTTTGGATGGGCTAGGACGGGCTCGTCACGTCTCTCAGACAGGCTACATTTGAGCGCGGAGCGACGTACGTCTACTTGCTGTTTCTGTTACGGACAGAAGTTAGTGCCGTTTCTGGAACGTATACAGATATCAATACAAGCTTGAGGGCGTTACATGGTTGTGGCTTGTCTGGAACAATACCTCCTACACAGATTATGATCGATTCTACATTACCAGTGTCCGCGAGCCGAACGACAGAATACCGAGTGCAAGTCCAGAGCCGAGAGGTCCGAATATCCGGGGTCCAGAAAAGATGGCAATCAAACGAAGGTTCCGCCATCGCTGGCATCGCTGATGAGCATTCAAGCCAGCTCGCGCTCTATGGCAGCATTGATGACTGCTTTCCTTGAAGTCAAGTCCACGCCGAACTGCTCCTCCAACCTCCTCCGTATCTCCCTCTTCGTGATCGTGTTAAGGTCCGCTCCTCGCAGAATGACCTGGACTGCCCTCTCTAGCTCGGTGTCGGATGGGGCCCCTTCCGAGCCAGTGATGGCCTGGAGGTCGAAATCGAGGTGGCTAGACACAGCCCGCGACGGCACAGGCTGGTGGAGTACGCTGCCGATTTCGCTCATTGCGCGAACGGGAGTGTTGTGGCCCGAGCGGTAGCTTGGAGGCCTGACGTATGGCGTCGGCATTGCTGGCGGAGAGTCCATCTTCCGCTCGTAGTAGGTTTCAGCCCCGTACAAGGACGGCCCTCGGGATGCCGCATAGTCAACCCTCTCGATCTTACTGGGCGGTATCCAGGAACCGATACTATGGTTGGACTCCTTGTCCCAAAGCTCGTTTTCCTGGGCAGGGAACATGAGCGGCTTATGGCGCGATATAGACATCGTTACTTACATAGTCCTCCCATGATTTGAGAGGGATGGACTTAGGGTCGAACTTACCCTCATCCTATGCAAGCAGTCAGCGACGCCCCACAGAAACAATCAAGGGACTCACGTGTACAACCAACTTCTTGCCCTGCTCACCAAGAACGACACGCGTCTGACCCCATGAGAAATCATCCATCTTCCAGAAAGAATACAAGGGGAGAAGGAAGGAAAACGCTGGTATTGCCAGGATATAGAAAATCATCCAGCCGATCATGTCCCATTTACGCCGGACAACGAACACGAGAGCCTGTAATCCATACACCGCGGCGATCATGACAATGGAGACCGTCGTGATGCTCTGCCTTGCTCCAACGGCCAGATAGATGAGGTAACCAATCTGTGGACATAAGTCAGACGACGGACGGGCAGGACGTCACGAGAAGAGACTTACATATGCTACTGTCACCGGCTGTATTATCGTCGATACCAAGTCAATAAGCACAACGAACCGCATAGAGAAGCAACAGAAACCGCAGAGCTGGTCTAGGAATATGAGTTCTGCGAGGTTGTGGACAGTAGAGTTGATCCAGCGCCGACGCTGAGAAAGAAGGACTTTCCAGTCGTCGGGTGCGACTGTGTAAGCATGCGCATCCCGGACAAACTGCGTTTTCAAGAATGGAAAATGCTTCAGAAGGAGTGTCGTCAGGTATCGATCCTCTCCGAGATGCAGCAAGTTCTTCATGTGGAGCGTATCAACACGATTCTCGGCGTAGTCTTGGATGACCTGGTTCGAGATGAAGAGCGGTTTCTTGGTGTCGGGGGTGCGTAGTCGGTAAAGAGTAAAACATCCAGGGAGACAGGTCACCGAGCCGAACAAACTCTCAAAAGCTTTCGTCATGTGGTGCGAAATGAAGTATTCGTACACCTCAGTCACAGTCAGATGAGGTGGCAACGGAGAAAAATTTTCACGACGTACTTGCATCATGGTAATGAGCGACTGCTTAGCATTCGCCAAGGATGTTTCACCACAGACTCCCAATAGTTTCTTGTCCCGTATCATTCTATCCAGCACCCTTAGATATACAAAGAATTAGAGAAGACAAGAACTCACGCTGAGACGAGCCGATTGAGGGACAAAGGATCGACTGTTGTGTCCGCGTCTACCATGAATACGTACTCGTAGAAGCTAGGATTCACGCCAATGACGTTCTTGATTTGATGATACATTTCTAGTTCCAAAGGGTTCATGGGAGAGCTGAAGTGTACCTAGAGGTCAATTTGTGAGATAGGGCAGAATCTACCGATAGAGCTCGGAGGATGGTACCTTGTTCAGAAAACGCATGAGGAGCATCTGAGAGTCCCGCTTGCCACGATTACCAGGCCTGGAGCGTTCGTTCGGCTTGCCAACCTTGACTACGACTAGGTACGGAACAACGTGGCCACCCGTCTCGTACAATCCCGAATAGACTTTCCCCATGTTGTGCTGCTTTGTGCCTTCGCCGAGAGAGAGGAAGCTCAAGGGTTCGGGATCTTCATTGAAATCGGCGCCCAATATGTCCAAGACGATGCGAGGGGTTGGTCGGTCGTTTCCAGACCCAACGATCATACCGTCACACAGAACTACAAGCAGCTTACGCTTGTCGTCGTATTTCATCCTGGCAAGCGAATCGATAGTCTTCTTGAGAGATTGCTCGCCTTCGGTATAGCAGGTGATTTGACAGACGACAAACTTGTCGTGGTCTTCAGGAGCCCTCTCCGCGCTGAGATTGATGGATGCAATGAACTTGAATCCGATGACGCTGACCATCATTATAGACAAGGCGAGTAGGATGTAGGTTGAGAAGAGGCATTGGGGAGATTCTCGGTTGTCGACTTTGCCTATTAGGAAAAGATTCCTCAGACACGTCGCTTGTCTTTGTAAGATGACGGAGTCGAGATTGAGAGAATTGAACTGCTTAGTGATATCACCACCTGCTTCCGTTTTGAAGAGGTCGACAACGGAAGGGTGCATGAAATTCACGTCAACCCCTCCAGGGGCCTGCATGCCGGTAGGCGCTTTCACGTACGGGGGAGTATTGATGTAATTGGTCAGGTCGTAGATCAGGCCGTTGTATATTGCCACCGATTTCGACGAGGCAGCCATGCTGGAGATTTCCTTGGGAGTATAGCCCACGAAACCCACTCGGTTGTTCCAGCGCATTTCGGTCATGACTTCCCAATACCAATCTGGGCGTGAATCGTTCGTGAACGCGCGGAAATCATGATATTGTGCATTTGGGTCGGTATCATTGGACGAGTCCAGCACAACCCAAGGGCTGACAGTACCCGTTACCCCATTGCAAAGCGCGCTGACCTGTAACAGCATCAGTGATTGACACTCTCGTGAGCACGATGAGACACAGACCTGAACTGGGAAGATATCGTCGGCGGCGGTGCCACCGTATTTCAAGATACTTTTGGCAGGCACTACACTGACGGCACGCTGGTGAGTCTCAGCGATCTCAGTCAGGTCGAAGACTTCGCCTCTGATAGACGTAAAGACATTGTTCGGGTTATCTTGTGAATTGTGTGAAGCGAGTTCACTGGTGCTGTAGACGTGTTCAGTCGGGCAAATGAGATCGCCAAGGGCCACGATCACGAAAAGTGTGCAAGCGCAGATAAACCAGATTAGGATGTTGATAGTTAGCTTTTCCCGCCATGCCTGACGAATATCTGGGCGCTTCATCCCACCGATCCACGTCAGGAGCGGGGTTGGCACCCACCAGGTGAGCATCCAGCATACTGCTACCCATCTGCGGCGTGCCGAGCTTTCCTTCAGGACTTCGGTTGTCTCCCCATCTGCAACCACCGCGTCCAACCCATCCTGGGCTAGCAGAGCTTTCGTATCAGCATTCTGGAACATATTGCGGGAAGGGGCATATGACTCTGTGCCGGCATCTGATCCAGGATAGTCTCGGTTACTCGTAAGCCTGCTCGCTGAGTAGTCTTCACTGCGAAGGGACTTCCGTTCATCAGATTCGTCGTCATAGAGGACCCCGGATGGAAATGCAGGAGTACGCGGCTGCAACGCATGGCTTGACTGGCCGAATGGGTCTCCGTAAGGGCCTTCATATGGTGAGTCCATCGGTGAGACATCTTCGCTGGCATATGGCGCATACGGATCCTCCATGCCACTACGACGGAGGCCTGCGTCAAGCTCAGCATTTCTGAAGCGGTTTCGCTTCTGCTCTTCTTCATCCGACGAACGCAGGGAGTCCTCGAGTTTGTGGAAAGCCACTTGAGAAAGGTATACCTGAGGTTGATGTCAGAGACTGAAGAGTCAGACGCAACGACCACAAACCTTGTGGTAGCCTACGGAGATGTCTGTATTCCGAAGGCCGAAGGCAGTTCGGGTCTGCTCTATGCGTTCTCTCGGCTCCCCCTCTATAATTCCCAAACTCTCCAATGGCTGCCTATACCTCTGGATGAACTCGTCAAGGGTCACGCTTACTTCAAAGGTGGTACCCATCCTCTGCGCTATTTCTGCCAAACCCAGGCATTTGACCTGTCCCTTGGCCGCCCGACCTTCAAACTGGTTCGGCAACTGAGAATCGTTGGGGTTGATGCAGAAGATATACCAAGGCTGAGCATCTGCAAGGGTTTCGAACAAAGTATCCAATGCACCACGAAACTCCCCTGCAACGCAAGGCGCGCCACCAGCAGAACCCTGTGTCATATAGAGATCATCCTTCTCCGGATCGATCTCTTTCTTTTCCAAGAGAGACCCGGTCCTACCACCACCGATACTCTTGCGTCGTGTGGACGGAGCGCGCATTGGCTTCACAGGTTGCTGCGCAGCCACAATGGTACCATCACTACGTGGGTCGGCTTGCACTGCAAGACTTTTTGTCGAAAATAATGCCTTTATAAAAGGGTTAGCAGACCCTTCGCCTGTAGGCTTCGTGGGTTGCCCTAAGCGCCCTGGCGACCCGCTGAGGAGCGAGACAAAATCAGGGTTAATGGCATCGAGGTTGCGCTCGAGGAAGCCATCGGTGGTGTACGTAACCGGCCCATTGTAATGCTGGATAGTGAAGGTCGGGTATCCCTGGCTATCCACGGCTCCTAGCCGGAAAGAAGAGTGGCTTCCCCAACGTCTGCCGAACGCCTCTGCCATGGTATGGTTTGTCTTTTTGGGCGCCCGACGGGCCTGGTCATCCATGATATGAATGAGACCGCCCGGCTTGTGCTGGATCAATCGCAGGCACTCAGAGTCATCGTAGTAAGGAACCTGAGGCACGACATCGGCAAGACCCTCTGCGGCATACTCCTCCATGTCCTTCTCGAAGACGCTCTTCATCACGAAGTGATGCAACCGCTCGTTAGCGTAATTAACGCAAAACTGGTCGAGCGAGTTAGGTCGGCTGGTCATGTTTTGCGGGCCAGGGAGGTCCAGCAGGGCGATGAAGGTGGCGAAGTCGTCCCGGCAGAGCTTGCGATTCACATACTCATTGAGCCACGTGAACAACAGCGAGTATAGGGTCTTTGCTAGATCGTCTCGGTTATCGGCGGCACCGTCTGGATCCAGGAAAACAGTACAAAGCTCCTTTCTGACGAGCGTAGTCTTACACGACAGAGCGGATTCGAGGGCCGCAGAGCGAACTCCCATGAACTCCGCCACGGTGCCTAGCAAGTCGACGTTTCGGACAACTGCAGTATCCTCGTTTCGATGCCGATCGACAGTGAAATCGAGGTTGCCCAGATGGGCAATCGTGGCCACGAGCTGGAATATCTGGGCTACTTGCCTCTTGGAGAAGCCCGCGTTCTTCATCGCCATCTTCAACTGGTCAAAGCGAAGACCATCGTCTTTGCGTCGCATGGGATTGCGACTCGACGCGACAGAACTCTGACCAAGGTACCGGTACGACACCTTCTCGTCTAGACGCAGATGCTGTCGTTCCTCCTGCGATAATCCGGCAAGAAGATAGTAGAAGACGTGGAAGTTACGCTCTCCGGAGGGAACCCGCGAAACGCGACTGCGTTCCAAGTAGTAGTCGAGAGTCTTTGCGCCGCATATTCTCCCCTTCTCTGTGAACTGCAGTTCGGTATACTTTCCGAACCGTGATGCATTAGAATTGAGGAGCGTGCTGGCGTTACCAAATGATTCCAGGATGAACTCCGAGGCGGGAAGCTGCTCGGCGAGCTTCGCACCTTTCTTGCCTGGACTATTGATGCTCAGATCCAGCAGTATCTTGATGGATAGCCTACGGCTCTCGGACTTGCCACTACCGGTCTCTCCGCTGTCGAATATAAGGATCAGCTCGTCTAATTGAACTGGTAGAAATCACTGACCTCATCAGTATACACTGATCCTGAGACGTCCTGCGCATATGGTAGTATGCATTGGCGGCCAGCTGAAAGACATGGGGCGGCAGAGGAACCTTCGAGTGCGAGACATCTCGGTACTCCGCGATGTATTTCTGCAATACGGAATCGGCATTGCTAGCGACATATTTGTGCGGGTTGACCGCGACGACAGCAGAGCTTCCGATAGTTGTGTAGATGATGTCCGACATGAACCGCTCCCGCAGGCACGACACGACGAGGCCGTCGGAAGGCGCAGGGAGGGTGGTGAGGTCCGATACAGATTCCAACGGCCGCCGTTCATGGTCCAGGTATCGCGAGCCCTGCCGAGGGGTGTCTTCCGCCTCAGACGACATAGTGGTGAAGGGCGCTGCCCGAATCTAGAGGCCAGACGAGGGTTCTGTGGAAGAGACAGAAAACACGAGTGGAAGTAACCTCTGCTGCTGCGACCACCAGAGCATTCACACACGCAAATAGGTTGTCCGGTGAATGATATTTATAAGTCATGCCAGAATGCAAGGACGTGTGTCAGGTGCTGCGCATAGGCGGTCTCGGGAGAATCGCGAATAGTCGGGTCCTAATATTACTTCAAGGGAAATGAAGTCAGTGACATACCTGCATTGGCAGATGTCGAATGCTTTCTGAAGATGATATCCAAGGTACCCACGCAATAGAGGGTGCGAATATGATTGCCCGCAAGCATAGAGACTGACAAAATCTTGCGGTAAGCATATCGACCCTAGTAAGAGAACCATCACCCCGTACAATATCTGTGAGAAAGAGCCAGGTTAGCTGGGACATACAATATCCCATTCACATGAACCTGACTTGTTCACGCACCCTCCAGAATCTTCCCATCCCAATAAAAGTACAATTGAATTAACCTAGACACCTCACCCAAGATGAAGACGGATGCCCTGGCTGGTCGATCTGTATCGAAGTCTTGAGTCATTGCAAGTCCTGACTCAAAGTCACCCTCGCATCGACAATCACGTTGCAAGCAGTGGTTGGTAGACGCCTACGCCAGGCGACACGAACGTGGTTGAGATGAAATCTAATGAAATGTGTTGACATGACGGTCAAATGACGGACATGACGGAAAGACAAGGCAATAATATAATATCACAGCCACAGTGCCGCGGTAGAACCTCGGCTTGTGTAAAGTTCAAGCCCGAGGGACTCCGGAGCAATTCTTGCTTTCAGCCATGTATCTTTGACCACATGCCCGGAGATGCGTTGTAACCTGCTTTTGAATAAGACTACCAAATGCTTGAGGACTATGCGTCAAGTTCAATGGGAGGCTGAACGAGATATCACCACTTGCGTAACTGCTACGGATAGCAAGGGAGATCCTAGCCGCTCTTCAACTCCCAGGCTGCAGCGTCTGCCAGTTCCTGAGCTACGTGCCACCGTTGAACGATGGCTGAAATCAGTAGAGCCTTTCTTACTGGAGGCTGCTGATCATGGCGGCGAGGATTTTGAAATGGCTTTGCGCAAGAGAAGCGAGGCTTTGTCTGACTCGCAAGAGTCTCTCAGCGTCTTACAAGATCGCCTGCTCGGTGAGCTACTTCTGCAGATAGCAGCACTATCGCTGTCCAGTTCATATCATCGTAGATCTCGAAAGAAAATCGCCCTATAACTGGCTGGACGATAATATCTGGACGAACACTGCATACCTAGAAAGGAGGGAGCCTATTATGATCCATTCTAACTGGTGGCTCGCCTTCTACGACGACATTAACGTGCCATCGCATGCTACCAACGAGCGTTCATTCCCGCATGATATTGGGATTACTCCTTGGCAGGTCAGAAGAGCGGCTTGGCTTGTGCATCGATTAGTCGACTTCAAGCGCAGGCTGGAAAAGTTCGTTCTTGATCTAGGGAGAGTCCTTCTCTAGCTGATGATCTCTTCAAGGCAGGAAATATACGCAGAAACCACGCGAGCAGGTAGAGCCTTTTTTCCGTTGTCGCCCTCCGTTTCCTCACCCAAATATAGGCATCTGGTATCAACATGCCTTCTCCAAGGTTTTCAATATGTGTCGTATACCACGACTGCGCTGTGATGGGCTCAGCGCCGCTCCGTCGTCTGCTCGATGTCAGATATTTGTGATGATCCATGACTGGTTCTACGCTGTTGAAGTCGCGAACCAGGAGGGCGACCCAGTCCCGGTCCATGACATTGAAGCCAGGTTAAGAAGTATCGTGAAGGATGTTCAGGAACGCCTTCGCAAAGCAGAGAAGGCCGTCCCTGTTGGGGTGCTGAGTGCAGTCGACCGAGACACATGGGCCCGAGTACGTTGTCCGTGCTCCAGTTCGAGTTTTGGGAAAAATTGATTGTCCAACGCAGAACCAACAACACCTGCTATCCCTTTCTCCGAGGAACCAGGAAATCTTCACCGTCATCAAAGACTCACTATTCGCTCTGAGCCTCGACGCATATACCTACGAGCTAGCGGACTCATCCGGTGATTCCTTGCATTCTATCAGCTTGCGACATGAGTTTCGTTTCTGATGATGGTTTACCTTTTTCTTTTCCAGAAGGCCAAGGCCGTTATCATCGGCCTGAACGCCACAGTGGTGACGCAGTGGAAAGAGATGCCCATTTGCATAATGTCCGTTCCGGCATCAATGCGCGCAATCGTTTCTTCGACAAAAGCCTTACTCTCATCGTCGAAAATAATGCACGGGCTGGTGCTATGGGTGAACATGCACCCGTAGACGCTCTTGTTCCAAGCATCGCCTGTGAATATGCCATAGTTGAGGGGATAGATTCGAAATTCTTCCCGAACCCAGACCCTGCCACCGATTTCTCCTACAGTGACGACGGAGTAGCAGGCTGGAATAGATTAGATTGGGTCGTCGACGGCGCGGTTGAACAGGCTTGCGTCGTAGCTGAAGACGCCGCCAAGGTCATCATCGCTGACTCGGATGACAGCGTGCTCTGGTTCACAGACTACGGCGGTGATTGGATAAAGGAGAGACGTGGGTCCACCCTTGTTTGTCATGCAAGCGATACTTGATCTGCATATGTGCGGTAGTAAAGCTATCTCCCGACGCATACATTCAGATGGCCTTACAACTGGCATGGTACCGAACTCGGCATTGTTTCACAGCTGTCTACGAGACCGCTCTGACAAGGCTTTTTTTGCATGGTCGTACGGAGACAATAAGGAGCCTCACAACTGAAAGTCGTGCATTCGTCTTAGCGATGCTCGATCCGTCCGCATTGGTAAGGTCTTGCACACAACTTACTGCAGGGTATGTCATCATTCATATCATCGGCTTGCAGGACACGGACCGTTACCGCGCTCTTTGCCGTGCTGTGCAGAGACATGTTGTCCTTACCCGCGAAGCAGCAACAGGGAAGGGCATCGATAGACATCTGCTAGGCCTAGAATTTGTACGGCAGCCTTCCGAACCCACCCCAGCGCTGTTTGAAGACCCTCTTTACGAGCTGAGCAGGGAATGGAAGCTTAGTACGAGCGGTCTTAGTGCCGGCCATCTGTTCAAAGGGACCGGGTGCGTAGCTATACCCGAACTCATCTCGAATTGAGCTGATAGAGCGCAGCTTCGGGTCCCCGTATCGTGATGGCTATGGTATCAACTGTACGGTTTTGGGCTGCTACAACGTCTGACTTGACTGACACGTCCTCTAGATCTCGCCGGCCCTGAAATTATCAAGTTTGGTATAGAGTCCAAGCATTCCTGTCTTCAGACGTCCACGTCTACGTTCAAATCAGCGTTAGTGGATGCTCTGGCGGACATGAAAAACATATCCGTGAGGGGCATCAACTCAACAGCTGCGCGTCTATAGGACCCGTCCATTGCTATTCCCACGATACATATAACATCCAAGATAATGGACTTCGTCGAGAATCCTAGTACAGTCCAAGTGGCGGAACTTGGGCAGAATGGCCCAAATCTGTTCTTCTGGATAGTTTGACCACATCCCTGATTCACAACACTCCTTGTAGGATCTGCCGACGACTCAACCACCCTTCGTCGCCCCACTCCGCGGCCATCTTACCCATCAGCGATGAGGAAGCAATGCCGTGTAGAAATTGCTTGCTCGTGATCACGAACATACCCCTCTTGCAGCGTGAGAGCATGACGTTTGTTCTGCGCAAGTTTGACAGAAATCCGATCTTCTGAGACCGAACGCAGGAAATGATAACGTTGTCCTCTTCGTTGCCTGACATCATGACGGTTCAACCGCGGGTGCTACTCTAGTCGCGGGTAAGTCTCACCTTGGAAGGAGTCTACATTGAAGCACTTGTCTTGCCAGGGTAATCCGCTCGCCTTGAGTAGCTTCTCCAGCAGACCGCGCTGGGCATCATATGGTGTAATGAGACGGAAGGCCTGACCGCGCGCTTGACAAATAGCGGCGATCCGGATCGCCTCCCGCGCTTCCGAGACATTCTATTGTGAATGGTGAGATTGATCGAGCAACATCGAGGGCCCGCCGTACCTGCCAGCTGTTCCCAGTTTTCGTCTCTCTTCCTTCAGACACGTCGACGAATCGGCAGCTAGACAACGCCCTATCACTATGTTCGCTCCTCAACCGGCCCTGGTAAACTTGACGGGACAGGAACTCGCCGATGGGCGTTGGCATCCGAACTGGTGAGCGCCGTCGAATCAAAGCCCAGCGGGTGAAGGGCGTATGTGCTCACACTGGGTATCGAGGAAAATAGCCCGCTTTCTCAGATGAGGTATCTCGAATATACTTTGCAAATCCTTGAGGTCGTCCTGACCGTATGGAGCCACTATCACAGCAAAATGTCCGTGAGGAGTAGGTGGCTTGTTAGAATGGGACCTACGTTGTTTATCATCCCCTATAAAGACTAATTTCTTGAGTGATTTGTCGTGGTTGTGGAGGAGCGGTAAATAGTCGCCGACTTCGATCTGGCTCGCCTCGTCCACAATCACAGTGTGGACCGGTACGAGTCTGTTAAATCCGGCCTTCTGCAACGATTCATTTGACAGCATACTCAGCGTGCAGAGGATGACACGTGCTCCACCAAGGCGTCGCTCAGTGTCGACAATGTCTTTAGGCAATTGGTCGGATGGTATTATGTTACTACTGATCTTGTGGTATAAATGCTCATGCCTGTACTCTGGTTATTAGTCACGCGAGCTGTAAAGGCAAGCCACGCACCAATCGAAATGAAATTCGTGCGACACAATGAGGCGGAAATCCAGGAAGTCACATCCGGCTAGCTTCTCCGCGATATTCTTGACAGCGACGTTGGAGTGGGCAACGAGCCAAATACCTCTTGTGCTATCTCTGGTAGCTGTGATACTTGTCACACAGGCGGCAATAACCGTGGTTTTGCCGGTCCCAGGAGGGCCTTGAATAACAGTAATAGCATGTTGCTCAGAGTCGGAGAGGACAATTTGCACAGCCTGGCGTTGCGACGGGTTCAACGGCTGACCAGAATACTTGAGCGTCGCTGCTGCTGCCGACGATCTCTTGAACTGGCCTCCAACAAGACGAGGTTCCCAGATGCGCTGGACGAAACTGTGATTGAAGAGGCAAGTAGCTCCCTGAAGGCAACCCAGGATAATCTCGGTACGATGCTCTTCTGCGTTAGTCGGTCTCTCTTTGCCGATGGTGTATACGGCTCGTACGTCCTTCCCTCTGAATGGCACCGCAACGGTCGCGGAACGTCCCTTAACCTTTGCTGAACCGGTTGAGGCCGACCGCTTTCCGCCGTGCTCGTATTCAATTACAACCGTCTAGTGCACTGTCAGACCCGCGCAAAATGTAGGGGATACACATACCGTTTCCCGGCGCACCCGTGTTTTGTATCTCGTGCAGGTTAGTTGAACATTTCCGTCCTTTGAAACGGTTTTCTTCTCAACGTCATTCTTAAGCTTCGTCGGCTTAAGAGCGTCTAGCCGATCCATGGTACGACGGAACTTGGCCAATATATGCAAGCGCTAGATAAAGAGCCTTATCCTCAACGCGCCCAAGGAGCCATGGACCACGCATACCTTCTCTGCCAGGGAGTTAGAATCTATCGTGGCAAATCGCTCAAGAGCCGAATACTTGGGGTTGACGCGCACGGCCTGACACGAAGTCCAGGCTCGGAGGGCCAGCTTCGTCTGGTCGTTGTCGTATTTTTCGTCTGTGAAAACATCGACCACATTCCGTTCGTTTGATTTCGATTTGTCGCCTATTGCGGCCCAAATTGCTTCCATGGAACGTCGACTGTTGCTCCCTGCAGTAGCGGATTGAATATCAATCGCGCCATTAACGCGGGCACCGAAGTCAAAAAAAAGGGACGTGGCGAGTCGGTCCATATTGAACGATAGCTTTTTGATGTTCGGTTCACAAAGCAGCCTATTCTGCAAGAGGTCTATCGAGCGCCGAGTACAGTCCTTCTTCGCCTTGCTCCTTGTATGTCCGACAGGCGAACCGAGCCTGACGAGCAATATCTCGGAGGACGTGGCGAATGCTACAGCCGCCAAAACGCATTGAGAGCCGTATGCACCGGCCACGCCCACGAAGTTGCTTTCCCTGCTCTTGAGGAGCGTAGTGATGAGAGTATCAGTCAATGCATTGAGATGTACGGGAACGACGTTGATCGCCGGATGACTGGCTTTGAAGATGGTCTGCTTGAGCTTGAAGGGTCTGTCTGCCATGGCCGTGCCGTGAGGTCGGGGTTGAGGGGTTGAGACAGGAGCAACGTGTTTATTTACGAGGATAAAAATGGTGCCTCCATTCTTCGGCGAGTCGCGGCGAAATCGATGAAAATGAAAAGCACGAGGAGGTCCTCGGTCTTCCATCTGTCAACTAAGGTAAGTGAGGGACTTCATATACAAGGCGTATCGGAGAAGTGCGCCCTTAAGGAAGGGGCGTGGGGGCCGTGACATAAGAGAGGGACTCACGAGCAGCTTCAGGGCAACCATCTCAGGCTGGAGACGCAGCAGTCCACTGTCCTCGTTTCATGATTTTCACTCTAAGATCAGTATTTGACAGCTGGACATACAAGATTATAGAGGGGTAAGCAATAGCAGCACCAGTAACGGAAAGATATTAGAAACACATAAGGAGATATTTCGGAGGGTGTTTAGGGGCATCGCATGCTGTGATTGGGCCGTAACAAATGGGCGTCTACGAAGACACGCTCAACGTCTAGGTGAAAGATAGTGCAGAGTACACACTTACCTCATGTTCCCACTGGAATCATCCTGCCTTCCCATAGCCGTACGGTCAATACCGGTTCGGCCGGTAAAGCACGCACAGTGGGGGCGGGCTAAGGTTAGTCAAATGTTCGCCGTTCTTCGTCATAGACGACAAGGGTATGGGGTTATACTCTATGCCAGCCGACTCTTGTCTACGTTCGACGTGGTCGAGGACGGCTTGCAGTGGCAGCAAGCGCTTCGATGATCCCGGGACGGCCTGCAGCTGGAATGGGATCGCGGCTAGGTCTTTATCACTGAGCTTATAGTAGCTTTTTGTTGCGAGAAAGGCATGAGAGAATCCGCGTGTATGACACATGCATATGTTATATGCTCTCCTACCCTCACTCTTGAACACGACCTGGAGAGGGTAAGTTGGGGATCAGTTATCATGCGGACGACGTTCCTTCGTGATGCTTACCTTCGTCCCGAGGGGTAGGTTGGTGGATCTGCTCCCTTCCATTCCTTGAGGCTGGCCTCCCATTCTTTCTTCCTCTTACGGGCCTCAGCATTGATGGCGTTTTCCGCCTTCTTCAACTCCTTCTCCTCGGGCGTAAGGATGGGCTTGGGTTTCTTCACTCACGTTACAGGTGAGGGACGCGCATATGCGCACATGGAAGAAGCGGTGCGAGACATTGTAGTGGAGAACGGTGATATGAGTAATAAGCGAGCACCGTTTCCGTTAAATATTCGGAGGACGCGTCTGCGGCGTGGCCTCCCCCAAGCACAGAGAAACGCTTGCACGACCTTCAGGCATCAAGTTTCTGCGTCAAGCTTCATATTCCAAGTTTCAAATTTCATGCCTCACTCCGCAAGGTAAGACCTTTGTACCGTGGTCATGCGCGACTTGCCGTACCATATTCCCCGGGGCGCATCTGCGCTGAAGAACAACGACGCGTCGTCAATGCCGCAACGCGCTTGTGGCTGAGTTCAGTGAGTAGCCTCTGAGACCACGTGTGAGCGTACAGCCACAATGACCTAAATCAGGTTCTGCTTACTGGGAATGCTGGAGAAACACCTTTCTTCCATCCACGCACTTCTCCCCTCTCCCTCATCCATGGCTACCCCTGTTATTGTAGGCGTTGGTGCTATCGCTGCTGCCCTTGCAGGAAGGCAAATGATTCGTTCAGGCGTCTTCGGTGGCAAGCGCGCTGCTGAGCAGTGGGTGAAGGGCGGCTTCAAGTCAAAAATGGACCGTAATGAAGCAGTCGCTATCCTTGGCTTGAAGTGCGTATTGCTACGAGGCCCTCGTACCTTTTGCTATTGCTGATCTTACCTGAAATATGTCACTAGGGATGGGCCCCGGTTACGCACGCAGCTCAAAGACGCCCATCGACACATCATGCTGGCAAACCACCCTGATAGAGGTGGTTCACCGTATCTTGCCAGCAAAATCAATGAAGCAAAAGATTTGTTGGATAAGGAGCTGAAGGGACGGTCTTGATTCTGTTTGCGTTGCACGCGTGAGTACTCGGATCCAATGGCTGCGAGTTGGGCTGCTCATAGTATCTATCCTCTGTAGTGTATCTTTATGTCGGATGACTGTATTCTTAGACCTCTATAATGCGTGATATCTTTACCCTGCTCAAGTCCGCGGCTGGTATAATCAGAAAGAATAGACATTGCCATGCTTAGGGCTCCCGAAAGTGTCTCTCAAATTTCAATCAATCGAATGTTCATTGGCTCCCACGGACTTCGTTAGGACGATGCGATACATCCCATGTGGACGCCTTCTGTTGCTAGCACACCGTTTTCGAGAGGTTTGGGGAAGTCCTGCCTATGTCACGGCCTGTTCGAGTCGGCGAGGCCAAGGTGATGCTCGAAAGCTGCCCGGTTGCGGACCGACGGGCTTCATCCAGGCACAGGGTACATCACCCATATTGACCATGCACAAAACTTTGAAAATAACCAGTCAAAGGTCAAACTTTTTCCATGATTGTCCATTGCTCAGTCAGTGAAATGAATTAGAATAGTACTACTTTTGAGTGCGCAAAATTCGATTGTGACACAGGATATGATCTTTGTTCAGCACTGTTCATTGAACTTTCATTTGTTTTGCAAGGCAAAACTATGAACAAATTTTGACCTTTGTCCAGTTCCTTTCTTGGTGGCTCAATATGGGTATTGTACCCAGTGAGGGTTCAGTTTTCAGTTATCCTGACTGTGGACTCATAATGGCAATAGTCATTATCCATGTACTTCCAGATCCTATGGCACCCATAGTTGGCATCAATGTGCATACTTTCTAATGAGTGAAGCAAGGACCCCTGATAATTGGTATAAATGCCTGATCAGGTTCCGGACAAATTTTGGGACTTTAGAGCCCTCAATGGCTGATTTTTTATGGACAAATCAGCCGATTCTGGAGAACAGGCAGGCTCCTAGAACCATCCGTCTCACGTCCTCGATCCTCTCTGCTAGGGCGTGTGTGAAGATGTTATCTAATATGGCTTATATAATGTTGTTTATTTATAGTTGTGTTTCCTGATTAAGCCGAACGGTGAGGATGAGGACGCTACTATCATTGGGGGGGTTCTGTAAAAGTTAGATTTTTTACAGAACTCCGAAATCTCGAGAAGTATGCTACAGGGAGCTTAGCGGGTTGGTACGTATATGCATTGTATACCATACAGATGGTCTGTGAAGTCAGAATTGCCTCAAATTGGCCCCTTGTCGTATGGGAGGTTGAACACCATCCAAAGTGCCCACTGTAACAGGTCTGATGGCCACTTGATGGGTAGATCTGCCAGCCTACACGGCCCCGGCATATATCGGCTTGCCTAGAGGAGGTGTTTCCTGTATGTGTAAACCTCCTGCGCCCACCCGATAATAGCTGCAGGCTTGTGAAGTGCTCGTATGGTAGATTTTACAGAACTCCAAGGGCCCAAGGGCGTGACAGATGCGTGAC